CCGGCGACGGGGAACAGGAAGTCTCAGAGGAGGAGGATGAGGAAGGAACTCCGGCGACTGGGGTGACTGGAAGGCTAGAGACTGGGGAGGCTTGTAGTGACGGGAGGCGTCTGCTTCGGGACTCCAGACGGGAGGCGTCTGCTTCGGGACTCCAGACGGGAGGCGTCTGCTTCGGGACTCCAGACGGGAGGCGTCTGCTTCGGGACTCCAGACGGGAGGCGTCTGCTTCGGGACTCCAGACGGGAGGCGTCTGCTTCGGGACTCCAGACGGGAGGCGTCTGCTTCGGGACTCCAGACGGGAGGCGTCTGCTTCGGGACTCCAGACGGGAGGCGTTGACTTCTGACCCGGGGGCCCATGGATGGGCTGGACCGGAGCCCGTGCGTCCTCCTCTGCCGAGGCAGGATGCGATGCGTCCTCCTGGACCATCACGGAGACAAGGTGCGATGCGTCCCCTTGGACCACCGCTGAGGAGAGGTGCGATGCGTCCCCTTGGACCACCGCTGAGGAGAGGTGCGATGCGTCCGCCAGGACCACCGTGGGAGCAGGAGGCAATGCGTCCACCGGGACCACCACTGAAGCAGGAGACGATGCGTCCACCGGAACCACCGCTGGAGCACGATGGTTGCTGCGGCGTCGGCGTGGGAGTTTCTTGCTCTGAGGCATGGAGATGATGCTGGCAGGAACCGAGGAGGAATGACAGCCCACCGGAGAGTAAGTGGTGGCGCTGTCAGGATCTGGTGAGGGTGTGGCGGTGTGACTCATCTGAGAAGCCGAGGAGGCTTCAACATGCATAGGGGAGAATGAAATGAATCTGGTTCTGAGGGTCTGAGACGGGGAGGTGACGTCAACAGGTGCAGATGAAGTGATACAGCCCACCGGAGAGGAAGTGGTGGCGCTGTCAGGACCTGGTGGGGGTGTGGCGGTGTGACCCATCTGAGATGCTGAGGTGGCATCAGCGACTGGTGGAGGAGGATCTCGGCCAAAAGTGCGGAGGAGCAATGCAGCAAAGTCCCAAAACGACACCGCCTTAAGATCCTCTACGTCGAAGTGGTCAGCAACCCACCGCATGGCTTTACCCCTCAACCAAAGCACCATATACGACACTTTGTTGAACTCTGAGGATTCTAAGTCCAAACAACGGGCACAGTCCCGAATGAACTTCACACAAAGGTCTGGATCACCATCGTAATAGATCATCTCCTGTGTACCTGGAGTTCCTGCTGGGTCCTGGGTTGGTCGGTCCATTCTGTCACGTTCTGAGGATGTTAGGACCCAAATATGCAGTTACCCAGGATGACACGAGGCAGAGATGATGAAAAGTAAAAATCCTTTATTTTTGAAGGCGGAACAAAAGTAAATCCAGGCAGCGAGCCAAAGTCCAAAAACTCCAAGACTGGAGAAACAAAGCTCACCAAGAGCACGAGCAAACACTGACAGAATTAACATACAGATACATTAATGGACCGACACAAGACAGAGACAATACCGGGCTTAAATAGACTGGGAGACAAATTAAGGAAACAGGAAGCAGGTGTGTGGAGTGAGGGCTGGAGGGAAGGCAGGTGACACTAATCAACTCAATGGGGAAAACAGAAACAGAGGAGGGCAAATACCTGTACACAGAACTAAACAACAATTACCTAAAGACAGAGAGAAGAACTCACACAATAGCTGGAGGAGGACATAGCACATACACCCACACACACTGAGCTGGGGACAACGAGGCTGGAGCTGACCTGGGAGGAAAGAGTAGAAAAGATAACATAAGACACTAAACTGACACGCAGAAAAAGGACACATGAGGGCGCCAAAGAGCTACAGCATAAGACACATAACAGGGATGCAGACAAGGACACATGAGGGCACTAAGAGAGCACAAGGGGGGAACCTAGAGTGGAGCACAAGAGGAGCTGGGGAACAAAGGGACACAAGAGGGAATCTAGAGAGGGATGGAGGACACCAGGAGGCACAAAAAGGGAAGGGGCTGACGCAGACCATGACAGTTAGGTCCCTGTATGACCGGTGTCAGAGCTTGGTCCGCACTGCCAACAGTAAGTCGAGCTTGTTTCTGGTGAGAGTTGGACTCCGCCAAGGCTGCCCTTTGTCACCGATTCTGTTCATAACCTTTATGGACAGGATTTCCAGGCACAGCCAAGGTGTTGAGGGAATCTGGTGGCCTGAGGGTCTCTGCTTTTTGCAGATGATGTGGTCCTTTTTTGCTTTCTCAGACCGTGATCTCCGGCTTTCACTGCAGCGGTTCACAGCCGAGTGCGAAGCAGCTGGGATGAGAATCGACTCCTCTAAGTCCAAGACCATGGTCTTAAATTAGAAAATAGTATAATGCCTTCTCCAAGTCAGGTATGAGTGGAAACATATAAGTATCTCAGGGTCTTGTTCACAAGTGAGGGAAAGATGGAGCATGAGACTGACAGGCAGGTTGGTGATGCGTCTGCAGCGATGCAGGAGTTGTACCGGTCTGCCGTGGTGAAGAGAGAGCTGAGCCGGAAGGCAAACCAACCCCAGATAAGCGGATGAAATTGGACGGATGGACGGACGGATGGATGGACGGACGGACGGATGGATGGATGTTTGTCTCTTATTTTAGGGGATAGGAGTATTGTTTTATGGAGAGTTATGTGTGATCATACCCTAGGTTCTGGTATAAAGTAAGGCTGGGTGATGTGGCTTCAAATGAATATCATGGTATTATGAACATTTCACCTCAGCAACAATAAACGATAACTACCCGTGAGGTGACGGTTAGGGGGAGCAGTGGGAGATTTGGATGAGGAGAAACCTGTTTCCCATAAAATTCCTTCAACAACGTTTTGGCAACATTTTGGCTTTTGGGAAAGTGTTATGAAGGTCTCTACCACTAGCATAACACTGTAACTCTACAACAGACACAGCCATGTTAAGCTTACTAGTGTTAATTAGCTGCGGAGACTATCTTGACTGAGGTTGACTTCTGAGGTGGATAAGCTGAGTATTTATATCCAGTTAATGTTTTCAAGAAGTTCCATGAAAATCTGTTAAGTGATTCATGGAATATTTGCATCCGACCTTGGTTGTTTGACATTAAAACATCTTTTTTATGTTCATTCTGTGCATTTCATCCAACTGCATTATTTGGTTGTTTTATTCAACACAGCAGAAGAGTTGATTCCGTATTTTTTACCGATATCTAAGTCTTAAGTTCTGACATTACATTTTAATGCAAAAATCGGCCGATAATAATGGTAGACCAATCATATCCGACATGGTAAGCTCACACAGACACAAGAAAAAACTAAGCAGTAAATAATAACTACTGTTTAATTATCATGGAAATCCTTTTAAAGAGAACACGTTGGGATATTCTGAGTGTCATTCAGTATGCATCAAGACTAATAAAAATTGTACAAATGGGAAAATAAAAGTTCAATTTGAGAATAAGAAATCTGTGAATGTGTCGATGGTAGAATAAACGGGTATGTAGATGATTTGTGTTGCTACAGTTTATCCTGGATTTAATGTGTATTTTAAGATCCATCAAGGGCTGTGGAAACAATCTCCTGAACGAAGGTGGATTATTCGTATCATTTTAGGTTGCTCCTTTGCATGTGTTCACTTATCTTTCTGACTAGGTGGAGTAAGCACATAAGTACCTTGAATTACTCATCGGCTGTGTGCATCAGTGTGTCATCTGCACACCAGAGAATTGAGTCACATCCAACCTCATCTGAAATGCTACAGTTTGAATAAATTTGTCACGTATCACTCGCTGTTGTGGTAACAAGCTTTGTTTGATGTTTTGTTTGGGTTTTTTTTTTTGGGCTGTTTTATGACAGTTTGCTCTGCAACTGGTGCGTAAATAATGCAGGTAAGTGTAAATTTCCACAGGGGGGAAGGATATAATACAAAGCATGAAGTTTTAAATAACCATAGAGCATAAATGGATCTGGATCTGGATAAATACAGCGTATTTTTTAAAGGCCATGTGTGTATTGCACATTTACTCCTTGTTTCACATATTTTCATTCTGGATTATGTTTCAAAAACTGGGGTTTTGTTTATTGATCTTATGAAGCTTTTACACATCCGATTCAAAGGATGAATCAGAGTCGTATCTGCACACGAAATAATTTGACATATTAAACTGTATTTTGTTACCTTATTAGCTGTTGGAAAGACGTGTTTGTTTCCATCTATAAACAACAAAATGGATGTTTAATAAGCTTTTTAAAGTCTTGTTTTATCTAGTTTCTAAAGACCGAATAGGTCCGTCAAATGTTCACAGAATTGATAAATCTCTGGACGCATGCCAAGATTTTCTCAAGTGATATCTCTTGATGGTGCAAAAGTAGGATTTTATGCACATCAAGTTTTATTCAAGATTTAATTTATCCTCTCAGGCTCAAAATAAGTTTTGATAAAAGGACGAACAACTAAGTCCTTCAGCGGTACTTCTGAGTTTAAAAATGCTCATGAAATTCGTACGTGGAGTAACCAGGTAGGTAGGTTTTAACGTTGTTAATCTGCAACGCCTGCCTCCAGAGGGTTAAATAAGCCAGGCCTCACAATGTGCAAAGACTCCATTCAAAAGAGATTCTTTGCTAAACTAACTCAAAACCAGTTTATACTTGTAGTAGGTCTTTTTATGACTGATTTATTTCAGTAGTTTTTAAAAAGGAGAAAAAAATGGAGCAAAAAGATTCCCCATAACAATGACTCCATGGAAGCAACAGATTAGGAACTGAAAGGTGGCTCAAGATTGCTTACCTAGTCTAGGATTTAGAACTTTACCTTCCAATATGAAAAGAAGCTTTTTAAAAAGGAAAGTTGTCGCCCTCGTGTGATGAGGAGTGGAACTGCACAATGTCCATAAGCACTATTTATATTTATTAGATGGGGGATAAGAATTGTAAGATAGATCACATTAAATTTATTCAGGCAAGGACTGATTAAAACATTCCACCTGAATGGTTTATGTCACATCGTTAAATGAATAGACAACCCACACTTGTACAATCTTTAATTTCATAATCATTGTACAAGGACATCCCCATGGATTAGCACTTCTTTTTACAATATGTACCACATAACAGCACCTACATATTATTTACACACTTACACAAGATTGCATCACAAAACTGAGTGAAATTAGCAAATAAACTAACTTTTCTGCTGAGCCAACACACCCAATAATCCATGAGCTGACTAAACCAATATAATCTCACAGCCACCGGCCCCTTCTAGAGTTAAAGCTGAAATTACAGGTGTGAATTCATGAAAATCAAGGGACGTAAAATGATGGCAATGCAAAAAATCCCTAATCCTAATAATGGGTCAAATGTAAACACTGGGCAGGTGAAGCGAAGGCGGTTAAACACCGTTACTGTCTGCAATGCAAAACTCCTTTGTGTTGAAATGGAAGCTGCATGTAAACTTTATCATTGATACTACTGCAGTTGATGGAGAGAACAGCAAAAACAAACATTCGTTTTGTTAAGAATGCATTCATCCCATCAACCCGTTTGTCGGTGTGAATTTGGCTGAAGTGCAGCAAAATCCTAACTTGGAACAAGAAAATTAAATGGAGAAAAACAGATGGTCAGTTAGAGGAAACGTGTATGGCACACACACAGATATTGTAGCAGCTTTCTCAAAAGGCAGACATGTACAACACAGTCAGTGGCAGTTCTGCTGAGATATGCGAGCATGTAACAGCAGCAGAATGAGAGCCGCATGTTTCGAAGGATTTTAAAGTCAAACCAAACTACGAGCAGTTCGGCCTCCCAAGAACCCGGTCCAGTCCGGTTCAGCGACATTCGGCTCACACTCAACATAGAGACTAAACACGAAGTGGTGAGAACTAAAGGCAGGCAAAAGTCGGGTTTATTTAGTTCAAATCTGAAACACAAATGAGAGGTTTGAAAAATTCTAAGTTAGAAAGTGCTTGCTTCAGTTTTGACTGAGGACAAAAAAAAAGAAAACACACAAACAGAAGTAAACCATGCAACGGACAAGTATTCTGTTGAGAAAACAAAATGACAATGAAAGTAAAGAGGGGGCTAAATATGCAGGCTGATAATATTTCAAGCTTTACTTTATCTGTAACATTGCAACTAAAGAGGAAGATTTTAAATGGCTGGCCAAGGCATCAGTCCCCGTCGCCTGTCCAAACGGCCACCCAGGAGAGGACAGCTGAGGAATCAAGGTTGTCAGAAAGGTTCAGAGCATCCGGTTACGTTTATGAGTGGGTGAGTCTGTGATGACATCGCTGCAGGGTGCAGTGCCTCGCTTACGACTGGCAGCAGAATCTAAATGAAGAGCCATCTCCTCGGCTATGAAGGTGTTAAGGTCCACGTCATGGAGACCATTCCTACGCCGACCAAGAGACTGGGCAGGGTGAGTTGGGGAACCAGGAGGACCAGAGCGCACAGAAATGCTGGCCATGGCACCGCTAAGTCCTGAAAAGAAATAAACATTTATATATATTCATATGAAGACACATTAAAGATACTTTGACCATGCAACAGCTTCCATTGGAACATGTCATCATGACTAACCATGCAGGGCTATTGCCTCTCTGAAAGGCTGCAAGTCAGCGACCTCAGAGCTGTCGGTCTCTGGTGGTGATGGTCGACTTGCAGATACCATAGCGACTATGGGTGGTGCTCGAGTTGACCGTTGAGGTGGGACTTTGCCACACAGAAAGCTAATGAGTTCTTCTCGTCTGATAGTCCTTCGTCGCTTCTTCACCCATGCAATCACCTCCTTATTCCTGCGTTGGTTGCCTAAATGAACCCCTAGGTCATAGTTTCGCTGGTGGGCATCAATACTCTCTGGTAGCACAAGAAGAGTTTTAAGTTTAAAAAGTGAACTTTAAGATAGAATTGTTCTTTTAAAAAACTTATTGATTACCTTTATACATGTTGGTGACCGCTGTCGCTGCATTCTGGAAGGGAACCCAGAGAGAGAGACCTTGCTGCTGACAAGCACGATCTAAAAAATGTATTTAAAAAAAGTCAATGACACTAGATTTATGAAATGATGCCTATGGTGACTAATTAATTTTCGAATGTGTAGTTTTCTTTGAAAACAATTAAAATATTTCTTTCAAACACATTCATGTATGCTCAAAGTGAAAACCAACTGGGTAAAAGCGTTTGTTGTTTCAGGATAACAAATAGGCAGTATTACGGTAATACCGTATACACCCGGTGTTAAAAAACAACAACCATGTCAGTTCCAATATCATCATGAAAAATCATTTAAAAAATAACACTGTGCACGTAGGTGAGAAGGACAAACAATAAAAGAAATAAATATAATTCATTTAATTATAGAAAATTCATAATTATAGAAAACAGATGCATAGTTTAATTTTCTGTTTGAATTAAATGGTTTCAAATGTTTTTTTCCAACCTTTGGAAATGTTTGATATAGTTTATGAACGTGACATCATGTGACAGCGCAGAAGACACACACCAAGAGGGACAGGGAGAAAAATGGCAGAACGTGCACCAGTTGACTTGGTATCTAAACTAGGGTTGTCACGGTAACCGGTATAGCGGTAAACCCCGGTAAAAAAGTTGACAATAAAAATAACCGTCCAGTTTTTAATAAACTAAATTATCTCGGTGGGTTTACCGTGGCCGCGGTTTCGGCGCGGTGACCCTTACCAGCCACCGTCGCTTCAGCTGAAGTTCCCGCGGCGCGCACACGCACTTTTTAGTTTGCAACGGCACCAAAACTTTGAAGCTGAAATAATGGCTGAAGGAGGAGACGGCAGCGCCCAGGACATCCATCAGCCCTCAAAGAAGACTAAATCGGAAGTATGGGCATATTTTGGATTTCTGAAAAATGCTGAGGGACAGTTAATAGAAGACTGCTATCCCGTTTGCAGAACGTGCAGGAAACAAGTGTCTGCAAAACACAGCAACACTTCGAATCTAATGGCACATCTGCGTGACCATCACCCACGTCTCTACAGCCAGTGCAAGGTAAGCTAACATTAGCATTTTAGCTTAAATGCATGACGTGAGGACTTTTGGCTGAGGGAGAATGCAACGAGTCACTATATACTGCAGCCGCAGCGTCCTCTGCCAGCATTTAAACCGTGTCACGGACACCCTGTTGCTGGATGAAGCATCTTATTTGTTGATGATGAAGAGAAATATACAATTAGTTCCTTGTCATTGATTTGTTTACTTATTCAATGCCATTTATACTTGAACATTTGGATTTGATTACATAGTGTAGTAGTTATTTTAGTAATTTGTTTAAAGTGGCTATTTATTTTAAATACATATTTTTTAAGGTTGACTTGTACAGTGCTCAAGTCAAGTGTGGACTGGAGTTTTAGATTTTCATTTTGATAATGAAGAAAACAAGTATATGAGAAAACAAGTGGTGTTTCTTTGATTTGTTTACATATTGTTTATGTTTTGAATGTTTGGATTTGTATAATTTAAACCTGCACTGACTACTGTAACATGTTCCAGAAAAAGAAGCTATTTGTTCCTTTACTTGTGAAAAGTTGCACTTTTGCTAAGGCTTTGTGTTATTTTAGGTTTAATAAACATTGTTAAACCTTTTCAAAACTATTTCAGTTTGTGTAGAACAGGACTATCAATGCTTTCTGAACATATGCAACACCGTTTAAAAAATACCGCGATAATACCGAAAACCGTGATAATTTTGGTTACAATAACCGTGAGGTTAAATTTTCATACCGTGGCAACCCTAATCTAAACAGAACACAAATTCTGCAGTTTGGGAGCATTTTGGGTTCGAAGCGAACGATAAAAGAAAGCGATTAACACTGATGAGGTAATTTACGCAAACAAAAGATGCAGGCCATGTCAGCATAGGAGCGCGAGCCTGAGCTGAAATGGCAGCCTTCTGTTTGGAGCCTGTTATTAAAAGAGACAACGCACTTTAATGGTGGTCTTCCCCAGATGTCGCGACTAGCCCCAAAGCACCAGTGTGTCTTTGCCACAAGCTCATCGAGGCAGGTTTTCAGCTCTGAGGCAAAACTGTTGGTCCACAACGTCCAATGTTGAAGCCTGAAAAGGTAAACATGCTGGTTTTTCTGGCAAAAAATCTTTATAAGTTATGTATTTTTTTAAGTTGTTAATATTATGTGTGTTATGTTGTTATTTTTTAGCAATAATGTCTGTTATTCAATGTCTGAATGGTAAAGGTCCACGCCAACAGTTTGGTAATTCCATCCACTTTAAATGAATCCCGGTAATGCCGTACATCATGGTAAAATGTAGAGGAAGTTGGACGGTATTACAATTTGGATACCGCCCAAGCCTACTACCAACGTCACATGATGCCAATAATTACTTTGTTTTAATGTGTGATCCTAGGAAAAATGACTATGCCACCTAAATAATTCAAAGGAGTAAGACCACTTGACTACAAATAAATGTAAGTTTGCAGTGGAAACACCAATACAAATTATTTCTCAAATGATCAATTTCTAATAAATCAAAATTTCAATCATTCTGAACCTCGTCGCAATTCTATAATCATCCCCATGTTCCATTCACCCATCCATTTTCAGCCACTTATCCGGAGTCGGGTTGCGGGGGCAGTAGCCTAAGGCGAGAGGCCCAGACCCCCCTCTCCCCAGCCACTTGGGCCACCTCCTCTGGGGAAATCCCAAGGCATTCCCTGGCCAGGTGAGAGACATAGTCCCTCCAACGTGTCCTGGGTCTACCTTTAGGCCTCCTCCCGGTTGGATGTGCCTGAAAAACCTCACCAGGGAGGCATCCAGGAGGCATCCTAACCAGATGCCCGAGTCACCTCAACTAGGGATGGGTACCGAATTCGGTACTTTTTAAGGTACCGACCGAATTCCATAGTACTGACCGAGCACCGATTCACGTCGTTTCAAACGGTGCCTCGTTTCGGTACCCGTCCTTCATAACGAGAACTTGCCAAGACAGCTGCGCATGCGCAAGAGCGTTATGTCGTCGCTCGCTGCGAACCAGTTGTAAACAGAGCAGCATGGTAGAAAGAACGCACGCCAATGCTTGGGTCCACTTCACTAAATGTGATGGGTAACTGGGTGATGATGAAACCAGCGACAACGATCTAAGTGAGACATCCTCATCTCAATCTGCTCCGGTAGGTAAATATAATTAGCTTGATATGTTAGCTTCCGTTTCGCTAATGGTGCGTTCGCTTTCTCCTCGGAACTCCGAATTTCTGACTAGAAGAACATGAACGCGCTCTAAAGTTTGGCTTCACTTTACTAAATGCGACGGGTGATTGGGTGAAGATGAAACCAGTGACAACGTTTTAAGTGTGAGGCATCATCGTTTTAATCTGCTCCAGCAGCTAAATAAACTGTTAAAGATAACGTTAGCTTGATATGTTAGCTTCCATTGCCACCGTTGTTATCAGCTAATGGTGCGTTCGCTTTCTCCTCGGAAATTCTAACTTCCCAGTAGGAAAAATCAAATGAAAAAAGACGGCAAAAGGAATGAAGATACACAGTAAATTTAGTTCACAGTAAAGATGTTTGCTTCAGTTTAATTATCAGCTTATAAAACTACAAGGACGATGTTAAAATACAAACAGTTGTATGTTATTTATCGTGATATTTATCAAATATTGTTATATATTGAGAAAAATATATATTTAATTAAAAAAGAGAATTAAAATAATAAACACTCAAAAGTATCGAAAATTGGTACCGTTAAGTACCGGTATCGATTCGTAGGTACCGGGAATTAGTACCGGATCGATTCAAATGTCAAAGGTACCCATCCCTAACCTCAACTGGCTCCTCTCGATGTGGAGGAGCAGCGGGTCTACTCCGAGCCCCTCCCGGATGACTGAGCTTCTCACCCTATCTCTAAGGGAGAGCCCAGCCACTCTGCGGAGAAAACTCATTTCGGCCGCTTGTATCCGCAGTCTCGTTCTTTCGGTCACTACCCAAATCTCATGACCATAGGTGAGGGTAGGAACGTAGATTGACCGGTAAATCAAGAGCTTCGCCTTCTGACTCAGCTCTCTCTTCACCACGACAGACCGGTAAAAGTGTGACTGGAAAATTTGGAAGTTCTGGAAGAATAATGTCCCATACAAAGGAGCCTGAAAACAATAATGAATTCAGTAAATTGTACTTTTTATTTTAAGAAGATGATTAAAGAAATATCTTAAAGCCTAAAAATAGAACACTTTACAAACAAAATGAAATAAACCCTACTGTGCTAGAGGGTGTTTGGGACCCACGTCTATGACATTTCATAGTGAGACAACATACTTAAACACAACGTAATTTCAATACGGACACATTTACGTTGGACCTTTCGCCATTTTGTCGTAGCAATGAAAAAAAATCATAAATAAATTGAAGGGCGTCCTGGTCTAAAACACCATTCTGTAGCAGCAAAATAATATCCACAGATTCTTAACGTGTATTAGCAGCTCTTCGCAAACACGAGTGTTGTTTTAAGTCTACTATCTCCTCCCTGGATATCGCCATTTTGACAGATAACAGTTAACTGGAAGACAACATTTGCACCGAATTACATTCGAGCAGGAACAACAAAAGTGTTGTAAACTATCAATACGTTAGCTAGTGTTTAGGATAATAGCACATCTAAATGTTTGTGTCTGTGTTTTTAGACGTATGGGGGCTTTGTTAGCTAAGGCCACTGGGAGCAACATCACCGGTGTTGTCAAATACGCTGACACGGTCACCGGTCGGTGTTGTGTTGAGTTGTGTACCCCTGTCGAAATCCCTTTACCCCCCCACCCCCAGTTTCGCACCGTCTGACTAGTGAAAGAAGTGCAAACTTACTTGACGTCACCGGTTGGACGGGGCAACACAACTTGGCACAACACCAGCTATTAGCGGCTGTCTTAGCGTTAGCTAGCAACGAAACAGGGTCACGATGTCGAGATCAGAAAGATCCTTTCATATCTTATTAAAAACAAACCCATTAAAATAATGGAACGGGAAACACTTGTACTATATCACGTAACACGAAAAATAGATATTCGTTTGCATGTTTTGCATTAACAGTGCCCTTCGTATCTCTCCTAAAGGATACCGTTAGGATTAGCATTTGTTAGCACTAGCTCAGACGCCTGGCTCAACTTGAACTTTGGTATGTTTGGAGCATACCTTTGTAGAGCTGCGCCACAGCAGTGGCCGAATTCTGAAAAAGGTGCCACAGCTTTTGTTGATTTTGTTCTGTCTCCTCTTCGTTCGGAGTGTCCTGTTCAGCCTCTGCTAAGCACTGTCGTTCCCATTTGGAGAACCAGTGCTCAGGGCCGTGCTCTTGGATTTCAGCTTCTCTTTCCTCCTTCCTCTCCTCCATAGCTAACGTTCAGTCTTTGTCTAAAATATAGCCGTATTTGCTTGTTTTCTGGGCTACTTAACTACCCCTTTATATTAGATAACTATATTACACATCTTTATCAACCGACAAAACAAGTACAACAGCTGTTAGAGCCTCATTGTCAACATTACCCGGTCCGCTCACACACCCAACATTAAACATTCCAAACTAAGAACGCGGATGACAACACTTTATAATTTCTGAAACTAGCTCTTCCCACTTTTTCACCAAACTGAAAGCTGATTGGATAGAATCGTTTTGCAGGCGGGTCTTTTTTCTTAATGCGCATTTTGATTGGTCACATTAAAGAAGAGGAAATGTCAGCGTAAACCGAAGTTGGACGGGAGTTCCTCCTTCCTGCTATTTAACATTCTTTACAGTAGAGGGCGTACTGACCAATGAAATCACGCATCAGAAAGTTAAAAAGGGTGGGGAAACGTTTGACCCTATATTAATGTCGATGGTTTGACCATGTTCTTTTACAAATACATTTTACTCAGCTCATTTTTACAACCTTTATTGGCTGGTTTTAGCAATCTATACCTGGGATTTAAAGTTATTAATAATTGCTTTCCACAAAAAACCACTTCAATACTCTTAAAAGACAACATAACTCAACAGACTTGTTCAACTTTGTTGTTTTAAATAATATTTAGAAATTGTTTCACCAGATCTCAAAAAAGCTTTTTGTAGCATGTGAACACTTTAATGCATTAGTCTTGCTAATACCAATATTTTATAAAAGTAGCCAACTAAAAATATCCCAATTTCCATTATTGCCCTTTCTAATGTGCATGCCATTTTTATTGCAATATTATCAGAACAGGCTGCTTTATAATATAAATGTTAATATTTTATAAAATTTGTTATCCCAGAGTACTTTAATCATCCTGTGCAACAATTTTTTCTTGAAAAGGTCACAGGAAGCTGATGCCTAACGTCAGTCGTCACCAGGTAAAAGACACTCTGACAGGCCCATCCATCACAGGGCGTGATCACAGGAGTTAAAAATATATTTTACAAACTATTTAGGTCAGACCAAAATATTTAGTTTGTAAAATAAATATTTTGCATACTAAGGAAATATTTAATTTGGAGATAAATATTTAGCAATCTTAATATTTAGCTGCAACAAAATATTTATTTTCCAAAATAAACATTCAAATCCTAGATACATATTTATTTTGGAGCTAAACATTTAGTTTGCAAAATCAACATTTAGGTTTAACACCAAAATAAATATTTAGAGGGAAACCAAAAATGTTTTTTTTTTAATTATTATTTAATTAAATGTTTAGTTATTAAGTTAAATATGTATTTTACAAAGTAACCATCTGGGTCAGACCTAAATAATCTGTAATCTAAATATTTAATTCAAAATTTATTTTATAAATATTTATTTATTTATTTTATAAACTACATATTTAGGTCTGATCAAAAATATTTAGTTAGCTGTGACTAGTCATCAGAAGGTTGTAGGTTCAATCTCAGCTCTGTACAGAGAATTTTGCTGTTGTGTCCTTTGGCAAGACACAACCTGTCTTACCTGCTGGTTGTGGTCAGAAGGACCGGTGGCGCCTGTACTCAGCAGCTTCACCTCTGTTAGTGTGCCCCAGGGCAGCTGTGGCTACATCGAAGCTCATCATAACCTGTGTGTAAATGGCTGAATGATACACTGTAGTGTAAAGCGCTTTGGAGTCCTCTGACTCTGAAAAGGTTCTATACAAGTGTGGGTCATTGATTCATTAAATATTTTGTTTACAAACTACATATTTAGGTATGATCAAAATATTTAGTTTGTAAAATCAACGTTTAACTCTAAATTAAATAATTAAATTGTGAGATTAAATGGACATTAGAGCAAACATCACCCTCCGACTGTGCAAAGACCTTGTTTGGACGTCCTACAGACGTGGTCTAGACCAACAAACTCAATATAGGCATGAGCTGCACGTCCATGCGACATTGACCAACTACCCCTGACTGCCTCATTAGGACCCTCCCGACGATATCACAGAGAAACCTTATGGTAGGTTTATCCGGCGAGTAAGGATTACCCGATTTGGTGGCAGGGTTGACAGGGTTAGCCAGGGGCGGCATTAGGTCCGGCTACTTGGGCTCAAGCCCCGAATGTTTTATGAAAATCCCCGGATCTAAATCGCGGAAGTAACATGCAGTACCAAAGTCCAACAGAGAGGGAGCAGCTGGCAGTAGTTTGTACACAGCCTGCCTGAGCCTCCACCACTGAAGAAGAAGCCCTTCAGCAGTCAGCTTCTTCTACAGTCTCTGCCTGAAAGGCATGAGTGAAGATGGACATAAGGACGTTTTTTAGACCAAAAGTACCGCGACAGAACCCCAGCTTTGATGAGACTGGTGTTGACTCAGGTTTGTGAGTCTTATTTGAAAATATTTGTTGTGCTGCTGGTTTGCCTAAAGTTAGCTTACTATCAGGTAAAGTTGATGGAGAAAGAAAGGGAATATTTACTATCATCTCACACTAAACACTAACAGGATCAATACTCTGCCCTGAATATGCTTAATATGTAGCTTCAGATTAAAAATTATGTGGTACAAGACAAATATATATGAAGTTGACTAGTGCATGTCACATGTGTGTGTGTGTGTGTGTGTGTGCGTGCGTGCGTGCGTGCGTGTGTGTGTGTGTGTGTGTGTGTGTGCACGCGCATGTGTGTGTTAAGCCCGATCTTCTTCAGTCCTAAATCCGCCCCTGGTTAGGACCACTGATAACTGCTTAATTTTATGGCTAAATGGTGTCTCCTAATGAGAGCTCGAAACGTCCTGTTATATTTGCTTTCTCAGTTCCTTTTTTAAAATTTATCTCAACGTCAAGACCCTATTGATGTATTTAACCCTTAAAGCCCTTACTTGCCAGTACAACCCCTGACTGCTGCTTTTTAGTGTTATAACTGTGACTTTTGCTTATATAAATGTAGGAGCTACAGACGGAAGGAGTCCAAAGGTGAGATGAGCAACGCGTTCTTCTAACCCTTCTCTATCAGTCTGCACAGGACGTTGTGTCAGACTGTACCTCTGTCGCTTGAGTTACATCTTACGTTTTTATTTTAATTTTTTTGCTTGTTTTGTTTTTAGATCTTTGCTGATAACATTTTAGTGTTTGAAAATGGTGAAAGGGGGGGAGGTCATTTCTGATGCTGAAGCCTATTTTCAGGGACCTGGACCAACAGTCTCGTTCACCAAGCTGAATTATTGCGTTCAAGAGTCAAAGTTCTGCCGCAAAATCGGTTCTGAGAAATATATCCTCAAAGATGTAAGGTAGGTCATGACACCCACAGGTAAGAGTGAGAATTTGTGTTGTGACTCAGTCAGAAACAACAGTGTAATTACTCTATGTCAATGTAATATGCTGCATATCTTCAAAAATCCTTCTAGTCATACTTTAGGACCAGATGTACGTCAGTAACAAAAATCATCTTAAAGTTTTAACATTTGGTGCCATTAAAAATGCTCTCCTCAGTTAACATATTCAAGCTGAATTATAATTTATCTAAGTTGTAATGTCAAAATGAAAATGCCAAAATTATGTTTTGCATAAAACACAACACAGACGAGCTCTACTCTATGTATAAATCTTTGCAAATTAAAACATAACATTGTCCTTAAGAGTTTATTGGTGTGCGTGTTTAACCTCATTGTTAAAGTTGAGAGAAAACTGACTTGTTTTTTTTTTTGTAGCGGCATCATGAAACCAGGAATGAATGCTATCATGGGGGCAACAGGAAGTGGCAAAACATCGTGAGAAAATGGATTTTACAAACACATATACATACATTCCAGGGATTTCCATGCTTATCTATAAGCAACTTTTGTGATTTCTTCACAGACTCCTGGATGTAATTGCAGGCAGAAAAAATCCGGCTGGACTTCGTCAGGGACACGTTTTGGTGAACGGCCGACTTGTCACATCTGACCTCAGGCTGAGTTCTGCATATGTGGTTCAGGTAAATAAACACAAACAAGCTGATTCCTTTGTTTTTTGGTGGCGTTTCCGCAGCAGCCATTTTTTTCATTTATGTAGGATGACATCCTAATGGGAACGCTATCTGTGAGAGAGAACCTCATGTTCAGTGCCAACCTGCGTCTCAACCCAAAGCGTTACTCCTCCTCTGATAAAACCAGCAGAGTAGAGGCCGTCGTAGAAGACCTGGGCCTCACGGACTGTGCAGACACAAAGGTACAGAGATCAGCTGCTTCTGGTGGTTCTGTTTTTGTCAGAGTGAATGGGTGAATGTGTGCGTGTGAATTGGTGAATGTTGTGTTGTAAAGTGTCTTGGGGTTGTAGAACTCAAAAGGATGTTGTATAAATACTATTAATATTATTTCTGTTAGATGTTCCACATTCTTATGAGACAGAAGATCAGTTTCAAACTAATCTTTTCTATCTTAACCAGCACAGTTGACCGTAGCATCATGGCAAAAACCTCTCCTAATCCATGTTAAACAAGCAGTTCAATCAGTCTTGGCAATTTGCTAAAGGGTTTATGAGTTTAATGCAAGGGGCAATGTCCTGCAGAAGTGACAAAATGGCAGTTCCCCCCTCATCGACTAGGGCTGGCTCCAGAAAAGACAGCGTTCCCATTGACTCCCATGTTCAAAATACCAACTTCACAGCAGACTGGTACAAATAGCAATTTTAGGTTTATTAGATCAAGTTTGCCGTCAATTTTTTTTGTAACTCATTTGTTTAAATTTAATGAAAGTTTAAAATAATGAATACTTAGGGGTGTTTCCTGTTGATTGACAGGTGTCCCTCCAATGAGCAATCAGTGCTAGCAGCTTGCCTCTTGCTTGCTCCAGGAAATGGCTCAGTCTCATGGTAAATGTGAACCCTACTTCACACTGGAAGCATCAGCAGAGCAGAGCTGCACTTCTGGAATGATGCTGGAAGTAAATAAGCTGTTAAGTCACTTGTATTGATTTAATCTAGACAGGAATTTGCATCGCTGCAATTGTCTTTTATTGTGAAAATTAATTATATTTTCAAAACCGTATGTAATGTCCTGTCTAGTCCTGTGTTAACTGTAGAAATTTTCATGTCTCCGAGATGGCTTGCAGCAAATATAGAACCCAATCGCATCTTTAGCAGCGCGGCACATCGAGCCTCTTCTTGGACGCGCTCTAAATTTTCACGTTTTCATCACCCTCATAGACTATAATGGATTGTGGCTTGAAGCAGTGGCGTTCCGCGCTCCTGATGTTTCCAGTATGAAGTAGCAGCCTAGATGGCCAAGGGTCATCAGAGTCGCTCAACATGGTTTTCTGGCTGAAAGCAACCCCAACCTCCATTAGCTTTGGTTAGCTCTGTTAGCTCGTAGTTACATCGTCTCAGAGTTAGATGGGTGTTAATCATCTGCCCCCAATCTCACAGCCTCGTTCTCCGCTCCATTTTTGCATTAGTGACGAGATGTGTGATGCATCAAAGATGGCGTTGGTGGGAACCGCCCACTGGGCTTCAGCTCAGCTCATCAAAAACCTACGGGTGGTGGCGTGGAGGGCTTGTCCATTATTTCTATAACCATTGGTTTTATGATATTTGTTCACGACTATCAACAGATATTTTTAACAGGCACTGATGTGCAATCCAAAAGGTGAAGTGAGGGCAGTGTTGTGATTATCTTGGTACCCTCATTAAAGCTTGATGCTTACATAAACACCTTTAAGCAATTTTGTATGCTTTAACAGTAAGCTTATCAGGCTCTTTGTATTTTTAACCTTCTGATGCTTACATGAAAAACATATTTCTGGTTTTAGGTCATTTATTTTATATTGTGTTTTTATTTTGATAGTTTAAAAGTTGTGTTGCATGTCGAGGGGTTACATGTAAAGGGAATTTAGAGTCTAAAATGTGCTCCACCATAAATTTTCATATAGTTAAAAAAATAAATAAAAGGCTCTGTGATGGATGGGCCTGTCCAGAGTGTCCCCTGTCTCTTACCTCATGGTCTGCATCTGCCCCTTCTTTCATGTGCCTCCTGGTGTTTCTCCATCCTCTCTAGGTGCTCCTTTTGTGTCTTCTAGCGCTCTCATGTGTCATGTCTGCGTCTTCCTCATGTGTCTCCTGGTGTTCCCCATTTGCCCTTTAGGTTTCCCCCCTCAGACATCCCTTTCCCAGGTCCTGTGCTCTCTTGGCCCCCTCTTAGCCACGCCCCTGTTGTTTCTTTCTATGGTGTTTTCCTTTAGTGTCAGCTTCCCCTTAGTATATTAGTCATGGTTCATGCTTTCTGGTCTTTTGTTTTTCTCTTAGGTCATTTTCCTTTGTTACAGCCTTTCAGTAGCCTAGTGAACTAGACCAAATTCTTGCTTTGCAAAGTTTAGGCACGCTCCATTGGAACCTCCACAGCTCCTACCAGGACTCTGGCTAGCCAATCACGGCTCTCTAGAGGGGTTTCAAACACATAAAGAGCTGTGATTGGTCCATAATGGTGGGCCAATATGCCTGGTGGGTGGGATGATGCAACAGAGTGAAACAAGAGTATGTCACATTCATTGTCCAGTGGAATGCAGAGATCATTTGAAAAACAACGGTAGAACCCACCCCACAACCGAGAGCCGTCAATGGAGCGTGCCAGGCTAGCCTTTTAGTATTCAGTGTGTTTTCCCCACCAGTGTTTTCTTCCTCCTCCCTGATTTAGTAATTGTATTCACCTGGTCCCTCTCCCCACACACCTGCAATTATCTCCCTCTCACCTTCCCAGTCTATTGAAGCCCTGTCTTGTCTCTGTGTTGTTGTCAGTCCATTGTATATTTGTCAGCATTGTTTCATGCTCTAGTTGAGCTTATGTCTCCAGGTTTTGGTGCTCTCAGTGAGCTTTTGTTTTTGTTAACAGCGTTTTTGGATTTTTGGACTTTTGGCTCGCTGCCTTTGGATTTATTTTTGTCCGTCCTGCAAAATAAAGCATATTTACTTTACATCATCTCTAGCCTCGTGTCATCCTGGGTTTCTGCATATTTGGGTCCTAAACATCCTCAAAACGTGACATTTACGGCTAGTTGTTCCTTTCTTTCTGATTGGCCTGTTTCCCTTTTCTCACTTCAGTTATGAATATTTTATTTTAATGTGTGAAAAGAAATATGTGCCTTGCAAGGGAAGTGTCAGCTATGTCACACTCAGTATGTGTCACCTGCCAGTTTGATTCTGTGACTGTGACTCTTGGTTCAAAGATGCAACAAATTTGATCTTTTTCATCCTTTGGAGCAACTAAGATCAATCAGCCATCTTGGATTGAACCAGCGGTGTTAAAACAGCTAGATAAAGTAATGAGCTCTGAGAGAAAAAGTGGCAACAGAGTAGCAGTCAGTGACAAACTCCCAGGGTAAAATCTTGCAGATGTTTCTCTCTTTCTGATACAAAAGAAGACAGTGATTTTGTGTTTATGGGCAAGGGTGGCAGAGGAGGTTTGAGTCCCATTCGTCTCAGTCGTTGTGTCCTTGGGCAAGACACTTCCCCGTCTTTGCCTGCTGGTGGTGGCAGAAGGGACTGGCGGCGCCAGGATTTGGCAGCTTTGCTTCCGTTAGTGAGCCCCAGGCAGCTGTGGCTATTGTAGCTCATCACCACCTTTGTGTGAATGTGAGTGTGTGTGGATGAATGACTGGTTGTGTCATAGAGCGCTTTGGTAAGTTTTTGAACCCAAGAGGTGCTATATCAAACAGGCCATTTACCGTTTTTCCATTTTTGTGTGTGAACTCAGATTGGTACGGAGTTTCTGCGTGGTGTGTCAGGAGGGGAGAGGAAACGGTGCAGCATCGGGATGGAGCTCATCACGTCTCCGTCGTTGCTGTTTCTGGACGAGCCAACCACAGGGTTGGATTCCAACACGGCTAACTGCATCATCGGCCTTCTGCACAAGTACAACACTGTCAATTTAACAACAAATACCCACATAAAACAAAAAATGTGACCCTTAAGAGCACTTTTCACAATTAAAGCTGGAGTACGTTAGCCTAGAATCTCAACCATCTGTTGCTGAAGCAAAATTATTTTGCATTGCGTGTCAGTCTAGCCACGCTCCAGTGGAACTTCCACAGCCCCAGATTAGTGACGGTCCAATCACAACACTCTATCTGTTTGGTGGGCGGGGTGTTAGTGCGACTGATCAAAACTAAGATGGCGGCAGCTCATTTGGAACAGCTTTGACATCAACTTTGGGCTATTTAGGTTTGGCTTTCTTTGAGACAAGAGTAGATAGACATACAAGTTTATTTAGAAAAAGGACGTATTCTTCTTCGACAGAGTGGGGGACTGCCTCATTGACTGACATCCATAGAGGTGAGTACAACACGTTTTTTATTGTCAAATAACATGTGGAGACAGTTTCAAACACAACCGTAGATCCCGCCAAATGACTGAGCGCCATCAATGGGTTGTGGCCATCCTATATTTTCACATATATAGGATGGCTTGCCAGGCTAGGGGTGCATAGTTTTAAAAAATAAAGTAGGGTTCTACATCCCCCAAAGTGCTTCACAACACACAAGTAATTCACCCACACACACACACGTATTCACACTCTGGAGGTGATGAGGTGCAATGTAGCCACAGCTGCCCTGGATCACAAAAGTGAAGCTGCTGAACACTGGTACCACCGGTTCCTCCCACCACCACCAGCAGGCAAGGCGGGTTAAGTGTCTTGTCCAAGGACATGACTGCGACAGACTGATGGACCCGATCCCTCAACCCTCCGGTTATGACCCTGTCACTTACCGCCTCTGTCACCGTCGTCCCATCAGGGGCGTGCTAGCATCCTCGAGCTGGATTGCTGCTGATTTTTTTAAATGAATGATTAGGAGCTCCTGCAGAATCTGGTAAAAACTAGTGTTTCTGAACAGAAACATATAAAAAATGCAGCCACAATGGCTCTCCGTAAGCGCTACAAGGCCATTTGTGAAGCTATGTGAGGCATGGCTTTTAGCTAGCCCCCAGAAGGGGAGGGGGGAGCAGGGGCAGGAACTATAACTTACATTTCAAAATCTTATCATTCTCTCCTCGATGATGTCACACTATGGACCTCAGCTTTAATTAGCATTTTCTCGTCAACCTCTTCTGATTTTGTTCTAACATGAAAATGTTTAAACATCTCCAGGCTGTCCAGAAGGGGGAAGACTGTGATCTTCTCTATTCACCAGCCACGCTACTCCATCTTTAAATTGTTTGACCACCTGACACTGATGCATAAAGGAGAGATTGTGTATGCGGGAGCAGCGGACCACGCTCTGGAGTACTTCACAGACCTCGGTATGCTCTCCTCATTATGAAAGACAGAGGACTTGGATTAAGAGGTAGATGTTGAATACTTACAAAACAATTTAGTATACGTACAGTGCTCTACATAAATGAGTACACCCCCTTTAAAAAGTACAAATTTAATCAGCAGCTCAATGAACAAAAGAACAATTTCCAGAATTTTCACAAGGCTGGGTTTTATTGAACACTTGTTTAACTCCCTATCATGACATGAAGGTTAATAATATAACTTGGATCACAAAATCTTCAGTTTTACTAAAATTGGTTGAAGCAAAAATGAAAATACCCCACAACAAAAACTACTACATCTAGTATTTTGTATGACCACTGTGATTTTCAAGGACAGCACCAAGACTTCTAGGCATGAAATGAACAAGTTGGCGACTTATAGCAACATCTATCTTTTTCCATTCTTCAAGAAGAACCTCTTTTAGAGCCTGGATGCTGGATGGAGAGTGATGCTCAACTTGCTGCTTCAGAATTCCCCACAGGTTTGCTGTGTTCATGCTGTGTTGAGTTTCAAATTCCATCTTTCAGTTCTTTTTAAAACACAGAAAAGGTTTAATTACCTGCAACGTTTTGTTTGCGGCTGCAAACATCATCAGGCTCATGCCGATGGTGGCGTCACTTCTTTCGTTAATCTGCGGGCAGCAGAGGACTTTGTCGCCCTCTGCTGCCCGCTCTCCCCTCTCGGATGATGCAGTTCCATGCGCGATCCAACGAGTTAACTCCATCTTCCCTGTTCATGGTCCCACATCCACGTCTCCTTATCTCGATTGCTTATTTTTGTCACACCTTGTCCTGTCTCCCCTTTTGGTTTAGTCCTGTGTCTCTGTTAATTGCTCCCACCTGCCTCTCATTTCCCAATCACCCAAGCTCCCAGCCCTCCTGCATTTAAACCCCTTCTGTTTTGTGTCTCGTGTTGGATCATTGTTTCTATGTCCTGCGTGCTTCAGATTAAAGTTCTTGTTAAACGTTCCTACCTGTCTGCCTGTCTGCCTCACCCCATTTGGATCCTCACCTCATCTCCGCTTCGCTCACCGGCACGTTAGTGACAGAATGATCTAACCCTGTACAGGATCCAGCGGGGAGATTCTCCCCTGGGAGTGCCTGCTCCAGTTCCTCTCCTCGGACCACCGGCCGGCTTCTCCTCCTCCGGCTTTGCCTTCGCCTCGCCGCAGACGCCGTCACCGACCCTCAGCCTCGGCGTTCCTCTCCACCCTCCCGGAGCCAGATGAGAGGTTGGACCGGGAGACGCTTCCGGATCGCTCCAGCTTCATGGGCACCAGACTGGCTGTGTTCTCCCCCGGAACTGGCCCACGGCGTGGGGAAGAATGCCGGGCTCCACCGCAATCCTGTGTCCCAGGACGGAGCCGTGAGCTCACCGCTGCCCCGGCTCGGCGCACCTGCTTGGACCCGCCCCCAGTCAGACCAACAGTCCCGTCTCCGGTCCAATCCGCGCCTCCGTCATCTGCAGGCGGAGGAACCACGCCCACAGCCCAGCTGACAGAGCTCGCAGGGCTCCAGGCGGAGCTTGGCCGGATCCGTCAGCCTCAAGGAGTCCCACCTGGACACCCTGTCCTCCCCGAATCACCAGGAGAGGGTTTCAGTCCAGCCAGCAGCTCCCTCATCTCAGAGCCAGAGGAGCTAGCCTGCAGTCCACCCAGCAGAGCTCGCCGGTCTCCGAGCTGAGCTGGCCCAACTCCATCAGAGCCTCAGTCTCCAGGAGCTCCAGCTGGACACTCTATCCTCCCTCCTCTCCCAGTTTCCAGCACCACCAGTTCAGTTGCATCCTGTTCCAGTGGTGGTCCCGGTGGATGCACCACATCCTGTTCCAGCGGTGGTCCCGGAGGTCGTACCGCGTCCGGTCCAGCCTGTCCAATTGGTCCCGTCTGCAGCAGCTCCTCCTCCACTCCAGAAGCCGGCGGTCCAGAAGCCGGCGGTCCAGAGGCCGGTGGTCCTGAAGCCGGCGGTCCAGAGGCCGGCGGTCCAGAAGCCGACGATCCAGAAGTCGACGCTCCCGGTCCAGAAGTCAACGGTCCAGAAGTCGACGCCCCCGGACCAGAAGTCGACGGTCCAGAAGCCGACGCCTCCGGACCAGAAGACGTTGGTCCAGAAGTCGACGGTCCAGGACCAGAAGTTGACGCCCCCGGACCAGGGGTCGACGGACCAGAAGTCGATAGAGGTTGACGCCTCTTCCAGTCCTGTGGTCGACACCTCTTCCAGTCCTGTGGTTGACGCCTCTTCCAGCCCTGTGGTTGACGCCTCTTCCAGTCCTGTGGTCGACGCCTCCTCGTGTTCTGAGGGCGACGCCTCATCCACTCCAGAGGTCGACGCCTCATCCACTCCAGAGGTCGACGCCTCATCCACTCCAGAGGCCGACGCCTCATCCACTCCAGAGGCCGACGCCTCATCCACTCCAGAGGCCGACGCCTCATCCACTCCAGAGGCCGACGCTTCATCCACTCCAGAGGCCGACGCTTCATCCACTCCAGAGGTCGACAATTCATCCACTCCAGAGGTCGATGCCTCATCCACTCCAGAGCTCGACGCCCCCTCCAGTCCAGAGGTCGACGCCCTCTCCAGTCCAGAGTTCGACGCTCTCTCCAGTCCAGAGGTCGACGCTCTCTCCAGTCCAGAGGTCGACGCTTTCTCCAGTCCAGAGGTCGACGCTCTCTCCAGTCCAGAGGTCGACGCTCTCTCCAGTCCAGAGGTCGACGCTCTCTCGTGTCCAGAGGTCGACGCTCTCTCGTGCCCAGAGGTCGACGCTCCCTCGTGCCCAGAGGTCGACGCTCCCTCGTGTCCAGAGGTCGACGCTCCCTCGTGTCCAAAGGTCGACGCTCCCTCGTGTCCAGAGGTCGACGCTCCCTCATGTCCAGAGGTCGATGTCATCTCCAGTCCAACATCTCCGCCGTCTCCAGTCCATTGGTCGGCGCCACCTCCAGCCCAGAGGCCGACGACGACGCCTTCAGCCCAGAGGCCGCCGCCGACGCCTCCAGTCCAGAAGCCGACGACGACGCCTCCAGTCCAGAAGTCAAAGACGCCACCTCCGGCGTCTCTGCCTCCGGTCACCGTCAGTCCTGCCCTCGTCAGGCGCAGGCCCCCAAGAGTCCATCCTCGTCTCCTCCTCTGTCCCAGACGCAGGCCTCCTAGAGCTCTTCGTCGCCTCCTCCTCTGCCCCAGACGCAGGCCCCCAAGAGCCAGCCGTCGCCTCCTCCTCTGCCCCAGACGCAGGCCCCCAAGAGCCAGCCGTCGTCTCCTCCTCTGCCCCAGGCGCAGGCCCACGGACTCTACTGGTCCCTGCCTCCTCTTCATCGGGCCCTCGGTCCCTCTCGGTCCCCCTTCTCCCGCCCTGCTTTATGTTCCTATGGGCGTCTGGAATCTGCCCTTTGAGGGGGGGGGGGGGGGGGGGGGGGGGTACTGTCACACCTTGTCCTGTCTCCCCTTTTTGGTTTAGTCCTGTGTCTCTGTTAATTGCTCCCACCTGCCTCTCGTTTCCCAATCGCCCAAGCTCCCAGCCCTCCGGTATTTAAACCCCTTCTGTTTTGTGTCTCGTGTTGGATCATTGTTTCTATGTCCTGCGTGCTTCAGATTAAAGTTCTTGTTAAACGTTCCTACCTATCTGCCTGTCTTCCTCACCCCGTTTGGATCCTCACCTCATCTCCGCTTCACTCACCGGCACGTTAGTGACACTTTTATCCAGCTTATTTCTGTTGTTCGGTGTTTATGATCCTTGTGTTGTCCCAGTCCATTATATGCTCTTCTCTTGTGCAGTGATCTGTTACAGCTGAGTCCTTTATTGTGCTTTCTGCTTCTTCTTTTGCTGCTCTTGTGTGTTTTCGACTTGCCTCTTTCTCACACTCCTTTCTATGTTCTATTGTTCGTGTGTTGAGTTGGCGTCCGGTTTCTCCTATGTATGTTTTATTGCAGAGTTTGCATGGGATTTCGTAAATGACTCCACATTTAAGTCCAGCTGATATTTTGTCTTTAGGGTGCACTAGTCTGTTTCTAACTGTTGTGTATGGTTTTGTTGGTGTGTTTATGTTGTGTTTTTTCATTGTTGCTCTTATTTTTTCTGTTATGCCTTTGATGTATGGTAGGGTTATCACTGGTTTTGGTTCTTGTCTTTCTGGGTTTTTGTCATGTTGGAAAAGTGCACAACGACCAAGTGCACATAGTGATGGCAGCATCTTCTCCCTCAGTAGTACATTGTTGAGTTCATGATACCATCAGTGAAGTACAGCTCCCCAACACCAGCAGCATTCACGCAGCCCAAGGACACTGTTTCCATGTTTCACTGTAGGCACCTTGCAGTTCTATTTGAAATCATCACCTTTACGACGCCATACAGCTTTGAAACCATTAGTTCCACAAACGGTGATCTTTGTCTCATCACTCCAGAGTATAGAGTCCCAGTAGTCTTCATCTCTTTCATTATGGGCCCTAGCAAATCCTAGGTGTGCTTTTTTGTGCATGGGCTTTAGGAGAGGCTTCCTTCGTGGACGATACCCATGCATGCCATTCGTCTGCAGTGTACGCCGTGTGGTGTCACGGGAAACGGTCATTCCAGTTTGGTTTTCTACTGCTTTAGCTAACTGCAGTAAACTTGCATGGTGACTTTCTTCAACCCTTCTCATCAGAAGACGCTCCTGTCCAGATGTTAACTTCCGTGGACGGCCTGAACGTCTCTGTAAGATGGCTGCACTTCCAAGTTTTTGGATCACATTGGCTACAGCATTTTGACTAATATGCAATTTTTTTGCTGATCTTCTTGTAGTTCTCAACTTTTTGTGTAAAGAAACGATTTCCTTTCTCAGATTTTGTGACATTTCTCTTCCACGTGGAGCCATTGTTGACAGCATGAAATGGGAAGAGCTTTTCTTTGTTAAGTAACGCCCTTTTATAGTCACCTGTCATCTGGACACCTCTTAAATGAATCATTAGACTCACCTGTGGTTGAACGCCTGTTAATTTTGTTGTCTCAGGTGCGGCTTTTCTCTTGAGACTATATTTGGGTGTACTCATTTTTGCAACATGGGCTTGAATGGATTTGTTAGGAAAATCAGTTTTTGTGTGCAACCGAACAAGTCTTGTTTGCTATCAGTGGCCCACATTTGTGGGAGTATTTTGTAGTAGTCTCATTGAAAAAGTTGATTCTGAAAGGAAACTAAAGGTCTTCTGACAAATGTAGTGGGGTGTACTCATTAATGCTGAGCACTGTATCAGTTACAGTCCCATTAGTGGTCACGTACACACTGGTGTGTGTGCAAAATATCTTCTCAGCATTTGGCCCATCTCCTGGGGAAGCAGTGAGCTGCAGACACAGCTGTGCTCGGGAATCATTTGGTGATTTAACGCCCAAATCCAACCGCTTATTGCTGAGTGTCAAGCAGGGAGGTAATAGGACCTATTCATTTTGTCTTTGGTATTATCCAACTGGGATTTGAACCCCTATCTCCCAGTCCCAGGTTGGACACTCATACCACTAGGCCACTGAGCTGGCAGTGTATAGCTGTATGTAGTATGTACTCAGTACTAGAAGGATGCAGAATAACCAGCTGAATGTCTTCCTGTTCGGACAGGATATCAAATTGAGGCTTTCAACAACCCTGCTGACTTTTTTATGGACATCACAAATGGAGACGCAGCGTCAACACAGGAAACAATGACTGCAGGTGATTTGCCAAGATAAAAGTTTTCTGCAAAACAATTGCATAAATCACATGATCTGCTCCATTATTGTACAATAAACTGAGATTAAAGTGACAATTAGATTAAAAACTTTTAGGCTATTAGTGATACCCCACTCATTTAGCTGCCAGCTAACCTCAGATTGCTTACTTACTTGCAGTGGTTGAGTATTTGAAATTGTTAGGCTTCTTCATAACAAAATCAAAGCTGCATTGGCAAATCTTGAGAAAAAGCTAGCTTTTAAACACAGTCACAGAACTCTCTCCTCTCCCGTCGGCTAGCATCCGTAGGCCACGTCCACTTCCTACCGGAACTTGAACTGCCACACTAAATGACAGAGCGCTAAACACCAGTCGCCATTTTCTACGTCTAGACTCCTTTTGTTGTCTGTAACTTCAAATGGCGTTTTTCTTTTTGGGATTTCAGCAGTTTGTCCTAAAGTTGATAATACTGAGCAGAGAACCTCTTACACCAGTGGTGTTCTATTGCAAAATATGTGAGCTCGTAATGAGTGGAGAAATCAGGCAAATGCAGAAGTGCGGCAGTTCGGTGAGACCGACAACCAGGTGGTCCAATCGTTGGGTTCGAACTGAGCCGTGTTGTTGGCTAAGGTTTTATGACACATGTGATAGAACCATTTCATTATTTCTTTCCTCCTTTTTATCACAACAATATATTCATACAATTCGTTTTAGAAAATATGTCCCTAAAACCAGTTGTTTCAAAAAGCCCCCATTTGTGATGTCACAAACAGGAAAAGTAGAATAAACCACCTCTCATGTACAAGAGAGAGATGCTGCTGGAGGAGCAGCGGGTCAACTCTGAGCCCCTCCCAGATATCAGAGTTTCTTAGCTTACAGCAGCCTGAGTGGGGGTAGGTGGGCGTGGCCAGTTATAGCATGTTTTCTTACAGTGACAGAGCCCTGAAATGGCTCATTCTGGAAGGTACTGAGAATGTCAATAATGAAACTGCTGCAATCGCTTAATGTGAGGGATTTAATGCAAAGAAACATGTTTTGTATTGACTTGTTGTCAAACAGTCCCCATCACTGTAGGCCTTTAAGAGTCATTTGAAGACTTATTTTTAACATTTGGTTTTTATGTAATATGGATTTTTAGAATTTTGGGCTTTTATCGTATCCGTTTTGTTATTTTAGTCACTCTTTTATGCAGTTTGAATCTGTCTTGTGGTCTCTTTGCTCTTTTGTTGTTTTTATGTTATGTTCAGCACTTTGGGCTTCTGTAAAGGCAGTGGAAGGCACTATACAAATTAAATTTGATTCATTGATTGATCAACAATAAAACTTTTTTAAGTCATAACATATCTATTTAAAAACTGTTTGGTTTATTCTATTTTCATGATTTGTTAATCTCGTTTCTAAGTGGAGAGTAAAACCTCTTTAATGCTGAAGTATCACCAGTCCCATCTGTACCAGAATGTGATGGAGGAGCTGGAACATATAGATCAGAGCATCACTGGGGAGGCAAACGGTGATGAGACGGCCCAGTATGCCACCTCCTTCCTCTTTCAGGTGTGTAGTGAAAACAGATTACAAAACTTTTGTTTGTTTTTTTTACAACAGTCAAATGAAACTTGGTTAATGTGCAATGATTAACAGAAACAGGTGAGTCATCTACCTGTTTTATCACTGTTCCTAGCTGCCCGCTGGCTGAACCTGCTCATGGTCATAAAAACACTGATAATCGTTTAATATGTGTGACACAGATGCGTGTGGTGTGTGGCAGGACGGTGAAGAACATCTTAAGGAACCCTCAAACCTCTTACGCTCAGCTGGCTCTCAACATCTTTTTTTCGCTTCTGGTGGGACTCATTTACTACCAGATGCCTTTGACTCTGCCTGAGGCTTTACAGAACAGGTATAAATACATACTGTACGCTGCAGCCTGAATGTTTGGCTCAGTGCAAACGCTTCATTTCTACTCTATCTCATGAAACTAGAAAATAAATCAGTTTTATTTTAGTTTTCATGCAGAACTAAAGCAAAACTCAAGTGTGCTAAGACAACTATGTAATTTCAGATCAAAATAACAACAAATATAAAACACGGATTTTGTATGAAGAACAGCTTTCATGATGCTTTGCTAATTTAGCTCAAATTCAGGCCGGATAGACCCTCATGGTGAACTGAATATCTAAACTTTACATCTTTCTAGGAGTGGAGCGTTTTTCTTCCTCATCATCAACATGGTGTTTGGGAATCTCTCTGCAGTTGAGCTGTTTATCAATGAAAGGGTGATCTTCATGTAAGTATAAACCCTGCATAAAGTACTCTGCTTTACTTTTCTTCCTGCTTTACACTCATTAAAATGATCCTAACATGTTGTCTCAGTCTGATTTTTGGCTCCTCTCATCTACAACGCTAAGGGTGTTTCTCAATATCAAGGCACTGATTCCAGAAGTACACATAACAAAAAGCAAGGAGAACGACAGCATGTCTCCAAAAAGGGCTGGGGTTTGGGACAGCAGTAGCTCAGGAGGTAGAGCGGGTTGTCCAGCAATCCCGGCTCCAACCAGAGAATGCTGCTGTGTCCTTGGGCAAGACATTTAACCCATCTTGCCTGCTGATGGTCGAAGGGAACGGTGGCGCCTGTGTTTTGAAGGCATCGTCTCTGTCAGTGCTCCCCAGGGCAGATTTAGCTACATCACAGCTCATCCCCACCAGCATGTGAATGTGTGTGTGGATGGGTGGATGACTGATTGTGTTGTGAAGCACCTTGGTGGGTTGTAGAATCCTAAGAAGGCGCTATGCAAGTACAGGCTATTTACCATTTCATCTTCTGTTCTGTTTACATCAGCTACTGCGGTTTAAACAGGAAATTCTGTACGTTTACCTGCATTTGACTTTTATTTTTGAAAGTTTCCCGGTGTTTTACACAGCTTTAGTGTTTGACTTCCTGTCTGGCGTGATCTAAACTGCAGAGTTTGGCGTGTTTTGGAAGCACAGCGTGTAAAGAATAGACTTGAATCTTAATGATAGCGTCCCCCATGGACGTAATTTTGGGGGGGGACAGGGGGACATGTCACACACACAAACACACTTTTTCCAAAGTCAAGTTTTGACCCCTGCACTTTTTACCATCCAAAAACAATATTACGCTATATTAAATTGACACTGGTTGAGCTCTAGGACCAAGCAGAAAACAACCGTTTGTGTTGAAGCCTGTTTCGCATTAGAACATACTGTAAAGATCCCCCCCCCCCCCCCCCACTTCTAAAGTGAAAATTACGTCCATGGCGTCCCCTCACTTTCTGGCAGATGAACGGACCTAGACCTGTTGCCTCTGTGACCAAACAGAAAATTATCAATGGATTGATGGATTATGACACTACTTTAAATACATATAAAAACAAACAGTCACACTATTTACCAGACCTTTGGATTTTTTTTTCATTTTCTTTTCATTTTTCTGCAGTCATGAGAACTCCAGTGGTTACTACCGCACATCTGTCTACTTCCTGTCCAAGGTCTTGGCTGACATCATCCCCAACCGCATAATCCCTATCTCTGTGTTCTCAGCCATCGCATACTATATGATGGGTAACACACACACACACACACACGCACACACACACACACACACACACACACACACACATATATACTCAAGTGTGCAAAGTCAAGTTTACTTAAAATGCTGCTGTTTAAACGTGTTAAGTCTCACTGACAGGAAGCTTGTTTTCACTCTGTTTTGTGCGTCAGCTGATTACATTTTTAACTGGAAGGCTCTGTTTAAGGTCATCCTTAATGAGCCCCATGAGGAGGAAACTTCTGAAAGCAGCTCTCCAAACTCTAATAGTATTTAATTGACCTTTTTTTCCTGTGTCATAAGGGTTGAAGCCGGCCTTTGAGGCCTTCCTGTGCTTTATTCTGACCATGTCTTTGGTCAGTCTAGCTGGGTGTGGGCTTGCCTTCCTCGTCTCGGCGAGTGTTTCTACGTTTGCGATGGCCAACATCCTCATCGCTTTACCCTTTGTCTTCATGATGGTGAGATGTACAAACCTAAATAACATTCAAGATTAAATGTTGACTAAATTACCGGTCCGACTCCTTCCCTTTCCTCGTCAGGTCTTCGGTGGCTTCCTCGTCAATCTCAACGCCATGCTGAGCTGGCTCTCCTGGCTGAAATGGATCAGCATTTTCAGATACGGACTGAATGTAAGATCAATCAAATTAGCTGAGGATGTGTTCTTGAGTGGGTTGTGGAAGATGCATGAAGCCTTTTTCTTTCCCAGGCTCTTTACGTCACTGAGATGAAGGGACAGTTGTTCTACAGTAACGCCACCATGTGAGTGCAACCTCACAGCTGCTTTTAGAGCCCAGTTAATCCCCTGTTGATGTTAAATATCTCTTCTCTGTGCTGCAGTCTCCCAGGGGAGGTTTTTCTGAAGAGCATGGACATTGACTACTCTGCGTGGGGCTTTTGGCAGAACCAGGTCGCTCTGCTGGGAATTATTGTCGTCTGCATGGTGCTGGCCTACGTGCAGCTGCTACGAATTAACCGCTGGAAGTGATTCCTACCCATCTGTTCATGCAACTGTCATTGAGAATTTTGTATTGTGTTCACTTAAGATGCAGCTTTAATATTTTAGATGCTTCAACCAAAAAGATTCATTATTTTGTGCACGTGGAGCCTCATGCACATGAAACACACGTGGCGTAACATTTGACTCTGCTAAGCTCACGCACAGCTCACTTGGCCTGTGCACGAGGGGGGTGTCTAACAAGAGGCACGTCGTCGTCTAAGTCTTCACAAATCCACTTAGAGGGAGTGAGCTAATATTAGCTTCAATAAAGACAACAAGGAGTTAATCCACATTTTTGTCAGTAAATCAAATGTTTCTCTTTTTATTTCAATGAAAATAAGTGCTTTCTATATAGCCTAAAGATTGGTAAAATCAGAATTAATATTTATATTATTTAAGTAAATTATAAAAATGGGCCAGATAATAAACATTTAAAGCCGCCTTTCTTCTAATATGTAACATTTATTAAAGATTTTGAAGCTTAAAGCTGACCTTTTCAGTTGTAACACATTTAGTAGAGTTGCCTTTCCAAGCATCTTAAAGATGCTTCCCAGCTTCACCTTGTTAGAAAATAAAGTTTCATTATACGTCACTAATACTACGGAAGCAGGTTAGGGCCACTGAAAATAAAAATAAAGAGAATTCTAACTTTGATCTCAGAAAGCAAAAATTCATAATTCTGAGATTAAATTCAGAATTCTTTTTAATTTTTCTTTTCAATGGCACTAATCATTTTCCATACTACTAGTCACTATTTACACTCTCGGTGTTCTCAACCTCAAATAACTCAATTATAGCCCTTGTGTTTTTTTCATTATCATATTCAGATTTAATGTTATAATTTTAAAAATCCATATCTGATTTGCATCAACTTCAGTTTAACAGGATAGACCGAAAACAAATACAAAACAGTCAAGAGTGCATCAATAAACCACAAGATGTCTGTCATCAGGTTACAGATCTGTGTGTTCTAGATCTACATTTGCTCCACAACTTAAATATAGTAAAATAAAAAAAACACTTTACTCTTTGCATCTCAAAGTAAATACTTAGAACTTAGTTTTGTTAATGAAAGGTTTAATGAAGGTAGTGAGATGCTTCCCTTCATAGATTCTACTGAAATAAGCTGTTTGTTCTGGAGGCATTTAGGAGAAACATAAAAAATAAATAAGAATATTTGCTGTAAACCTTTTGATCACAGATCACCTTTAAAAGCTTTTCACGCCACTCTCGCTCCTGTTCAGGCTGTCCCTCACTGTTACTGGTTTGTTCTCCAACCCACAGAGCCACTCGGTGCATTTCATCACCACATGCTCGTCCACACCGGAGTCGTCCTCTTCCTCGTACTCCACATCGTCGTACTTGTGTTTGTCGTTCAGGAGGGAGATTTTTAGAATTGAGCTGATGTCTACCAGTTCAGCATCGTGGGCATTCTTAGTTGCAGCTCTGCTGCTCGTGGCTCCAATCCTCTGACCTGCTGACAGGTGCCTCCTTCTTCTCGAGTCGGTGGTGCTCCCAGGAGCACTTGGAACATTTCTAGCAGATGAACGCTGATGTCTCTCACTGTTTCTCCTTTGCAATAGTAGAACCGCTTCAGGTGTGAGCGTCAGTGTAAAACGGGCCTCTGCCTGGTTCCTAGCTCTCGTTTTCACCACTGGTTCAGCCTTCACAGACTTGTGAGTCGAGTGTTTGTGCTGCGATGCCTTAGGCAGAGATTCTCCAGAGCTTGAGGTGGGAATGGAGTCTGCCTGTGATGACGGCAGTAAGCGGCCTCTTGCAACTGCACTGGTTGTTGTTAGGTGACTCTTGAGTTGATTCTTTCTCCCCAGCTGCTTCAAGTTTAAAGTCAGCCGCTCCTTGACTGAGCTGCCTTTGTCTTCTCCCAAAACCTTCGTTTTGGCCACACTGCTTGTGGACAAAGCAGTTGCGGGTCTCTCTTTCCCACTCAGGCCTGACACGGAGCGTGCAATCACTACTTGTGGTATAAACGGCATTTTGGCAACACACAGAAGCAAGTAGGAAAAAAGTTCAGTTTTGCGGGTGAAATGATGGTATAAAGAAAACGAGGAGGAAAACGCTGTGCTAAGGTAAACAAGATACTCAGACGCATCCTCAGCCATGCAGGGGTCAGCTAGTGCATCGCTGCTTGGGTCAGCCGCAGCTCATCTACTCTGGAGCAATGAGCATCCCGACTTTTTATACAGAGGGAGTGGTGTGGCCTTGGGAAGAGGTGAATAAAAGGCTTTGCAGCATCTAGAATGCTTGTTGCTCCCAGGCTCAAAGATCTAAAATAAGCCTTCACTATAATCCTCCAGGTCTGATCAGTGAAAGCACGTTTTACAGTGCACAGTCCAGGTGCACATGCAGACTTTAATCCAGAGTGACTCTTGTCCAGACGGAGAGAGAAAGAGAGCAGCAAACATGTCCTGGAAAACATCTAAGTGCATTTTCGCTGTTACAATGAGAAAAATATATTTAATAAGTAATTTATTGCAAAATTTTCAGAGTGCTTGTATAATTACTTTTTTTCCCCCAATATACAATAAGTAAGAATTTTACAGTGATATAATCACAAAACAGCCTGGTGTCTCAGTCATGTTGGAAGGAAGGTCACGTTGGAACAAATTTCATTCTCAGCCAGCTGCGGAGTTATCAGTTTTTGTCTTTAAAAAAAAAGGTTAGAGGGTCGTAGTCTTTACAGTTTATGAGCCTGCGAGGTTGCCATGTGTGCACTGACCTAACGCTGCAGCGTCAACACCAGGCGGCAAAAAGCAGTAGCGTTTTGTAAAGACCCTAATCCAGTCAACAGGAGTGACCCAGAAGTTATTTCTTGCACCCCTAAGTCACGCCATCATTTTGCTTTATGCTAATATTGGGTGACACAGGCTAACAATGCTAACAGTAAATTAGAACTCACCATCAACTTTAGGTTACAGTGAAATGTATTAATCTACTGATAAAATTACTGAATATGGACCACACTGGTCCTCTATCCAAGTGCTCGTAAGGTTGAGTGCATAGCAACCAAGTGGTTTAAAAACTACAGAATTGGGAGAGTGGGCATTACGTTGTCGACCGCAACGTCCTAACTGGGGATGCCGGTTGCTGTTTGTCCTACTTTACTGCTTAAAATTAAATTGAAACTGATAAGATGTTAAAACAAGTCATTAAACTTTTGACAAGTTGTGTCCAAAAACACCCAAAATACCATTTTCAATTAATATTTCAGATATGTAATTTGTCTTTCCAACAGAGAAACATTCTTTTGTAATCATACTGCATGTGCATGATGATAAAACATTCAATATTTTGACTGTATTGGAAAATATCCATTTTCGGAAAGAGCACTTGACCCATTTCTCTGCCGTCTCAAATTTCCAATTGTGAGCAATACATTTCGCCACTGATGCGGTCTTCAGCGAAGTGCAGCTCAAGGGTGCAAAAGGGTCCACACATGGGAATCGGGACACCCTACGCACATCTGGACGAGAATGCGCAAATTAAAAAAAGAAATTAAGTGTGGAAATGCGAGTATTGGAACTGGAACATCTGGAATCTTCTGGCGCTGAGCCATAGCTGGCATCAGCCATGAAACTCGCGGAACGGGGTGAGAAAATTGTTTTGAAAATAGACTGCAGTAACCGAATTTCACCACAAGATGTCAGTCTGACTGAGCTTTACATAATGCACCAAGAATTCAAGAAAACATAATAATTTGCACAAACACATTTATTCAATAGATATTTTACAAAATATGACTAAAAACTGGTGAAATATCTTACAATTGTGCATTACAGAACCTTTTTTGTCATTCATCTGAACAAATCTAGACTTTACCAAAGCAGAAAGCTTTCAGTGACAGCACTTCCTCTTCTCTATATGAAGAACTAGCAAGCAGTGAGGACATGTGTGGTGGGCATCTTTAAAGTGGTTTAGAAAAAATGGAATCAAGCAGCAGCCAAAAAACAACCTGTAAGAAAGCATTTGCAGACTTTTTACTGCCCATTCTGGGTTAATAGTTCCTGTAGGTGTATGAGATGACAATTAATACATTTGAGTACATCTTTCTCACCCACAAAAGACAAACAAGAGGCACACGAGCCAGGCGTAAGTCCCGACCTTAAAGGTGACCTCTGTGGTGACCTGTGTCTGACAGGAGGTGCACATCATTAGTGCTGGAGAGCCAAACAGCTTTGTTTTATAGCTCACAACCATTGGCCTGGGACCACGTGAAGGGATGTCCGAGACTTCAGAGATGACAAGAAGAGATTAAAATTAAAATCTGTGCTTCTGTTGTTGCCCATTAAGCAGAAGCTTTCTGCCCCCAAATAAGTAAAATAGTTTCCACCTACATTACTGAAATGGTGTAGTTTCAAAAGCAAACTTACATTTTGACACAAAGATCATTTAAAATGGCACAATATGGGTTCATGTTTAGACCTGGATGAAATTTAACGTGCACCTGGTAGAGGTGAGAAAACCGGAGGAGTTGGAGGGATGTAAGGCGGGTTTACATGGTAGATCCTCAGGTCTTGCTCTGGTAAAAGAGCATACATTTGTAAGTATCTTTAACTTTTAACAAAAAACTCTTTTCAGCTAAGAAAGCATGAGAATTAGGTTTTAAAATTACTATTAGTAGTAGTATTTTGTCTAGAGGGTTCTTTTACCTGATAGCAGGTGAAGTGGAGGTGGAGGAAGTGAATCATCCATGTTTAATGGCTCCACTTGTCAGCTTGATGAAGCACCACAGAGGAAGACAAGGTTCAAACTTGTATTGCTTTCATCTAGCAGCAGCTATCTGAAGACCTCCCAGGTGCTCTTAATTTAACTCTCCTCTGAATGGTTAAAAAGCCCATTACCCATGATTCAATGGAAGTAATGCCTTATAAAGAAATAATTTTTATTGTTATTTAAACAATAATCATTTATCATATTGATGCCTTTCCTATGGGGTGTAAATTTATTTTTGAAAAGTGCAATAACATTTATTAAATGAATTGGTCTTTTCCTGCTTTCACTCTGATGAATAATAGACTATAGAAGTAATACAACTCTTTAACCGCTAGAGGCGCTCTTACACACACTAGCTGTAGTTGTGAGACGCCGTCGTAAACGGCACCGTTCAGTTGAATGTAACATCTTAGCGTGATGATGCTAAGCTAGCTGTCAGCCAGGTATCCACGGGTTTAGCTGCCGAGCCGAGTTAGGTACCGGATGTTTCCGGTTCTATCTCACTGGCCGTCTTGACATTCCCTCTACATTCCTGGACGAATTCGTGTCGACTGACCAGAGTCCGCGAATTCAAGTCCATTCCTGATCTATAATCTCTTCCCGACAGTGTGGCTTAGCTTGCCGGCTAACTCGAAGAGCCAAACTGACGAGGTAAGTTAGCACCCGGGCTAGCGGGATGGAATTATGTAGAAAAGCGTCTCCTATGAGGAAACACCGAGGTCTGAAAACCGGGAACGCAGGCCTCCCGGTAAAGGTGTACATAGGAGTAAATCAGCATGTTTTTATCAAGCTGGCTTTCGAGCTTATATAACAATTTAAATATATATATATATATATATATATATATATAGATTGTTGTACAACCTGGGATTTAAAATGATTAATATTTCGTTTGTGACGATTACAACCCGAGTGGGGCAGTCTACCCGGCTGTGGCTATGCTGCACTAGCTAGCTAACCGGGTTGACGTTTATTAGTAAAAGTGAACACCTCGCAATATACTGATTTAAAAATATAAGAATTGCTTGACGGTGCCTGGCTGATATTTCATTTACCACATTAATTTATACTCAGACCAGACCTCTTGGTTCTTTGACAGACTTAGGTTTAGCGGATGAATTCAAGCTATCTGCTATCAAGTATTAAACGAAATGAGGTGGCATAAAGTTACAGTTGTACAATTTGTCCCAGTTCGTAAGCATTTGGTGGTTTTCTGAGTGTGTGTGTTGTGTGTGAGAGAGATTCGATGCATTGCTAGTAGAGGCAAAGTTATGGTTAGGTCAGGAATGGCTATCGCTCGTTGCTAACTAAGTTTGTCTGTGACTCAGCAGCAGAGTTTACACTTAAGGACCACACCCAGACAAAGATGTCCCTTCACCAGTTTCTGTTGGAACCCATCACCTGCCACGCGTGGAACCGCGACAGGACACGTAAGGCTCAAGAATCACACCCACTTCAACACATGATTCAATTTCCGACAGTTGTCGCAAGAGACGTCAAATTACAAATAGAAATAATTTGTGAAAGAGTGGCCGCAGGTAAACAAAGGCAGTCTGGACGGACTTGTTTTTGGTGTTGAGCTGATAAAAGAATCCAGTCCAACTGGTTTGTCCTCTTCGTGGTCATCACAGCTCCTAAACTTGCTGGTTTGTTTTTCCCCCTTTTTGTCTCCAGAAATTGCTATCAGCCCTAACAACCATGAAGTTCATATCTACAAGAAGAGTGGGAACCAGTGGGTGAAGACCCATGAGCTGAAGGAGCACAACGGTCACATAACAGGTACGATTCAAGAGATCACCAAATTTAGCACGTGTGTTTTCGAAGGTGTGAAACACTGATTATTGTTTTTTTTTTTCTGTTTATAATCAGTCACTGTGAGTTTTTCCCTTCAGGCTAAGAATTAAAATAGTCTCCTACACCTATCTCCTGCATTAGCTTCTAAGAGAAAATAGTGAAACTTTAGGATTTGAAAAGCCTGACAGATCTACGTCACACTTTCACGTAACATTCTTAGACTCGCCCATCTTGACTCACGAAAGGGAAGGCTGTTGTTGGGTTAGCGTCCAGGAAACAGCAGAGAACATCATGACTAGAAGCTAACTGTTAGCATTAGCAGCACTGCCACAAACGAAAAACTCCTTCAGGCGAGTGTTATTTGTGGAGATAATGTATCCACGTTGCAAGTCAGCGGTAGGGTTTCATTGCTGTTATACAATTTGAGACAAGATGTCCAAAAATCAGAAATGAAGACTCAAAAACCTGCTGCCACTCTCTGCCGCAGCAGATTTGTCCAGGCTGATCCAAGCAATTCTAGGCTTTTTTTTTTTAGCTCTGAGTACAACTTGCAAGTCATTCGTTCCTGCCACTGCAAATGTATTGATTAAATCCAATATTGGATCATTTATTCAGCTTCTCAACTTCACATGTTTCTCCAGATTTTAGGTCTCAAACGTTTACTGTTGTTGAATAATTTACATTTTGCACCGATGTTAGAGAAACACTCTGCTGTTATAAGACAAATATCGTTAAAACCCTACAACAAAGCACACTTTTTTTTATGATATTGCCACCTGACTTGACCTGTTTTTTTGTTGTTGTCACACACATGGAAGCTTCCTTCAACTGTGCAGTGTTATTCGTTTAATCATTAGAAAATAAGGAGTGTGTAGTGAATGTCTGGATCAAGTCTCAATTTAACAAAATGCTAAACAAAAGCAACTGTGAGAGATGGCTAAATAGACAAGTGATTTTTGTCAAGTGAATGGGTCTAGTCTAGATGTAGACATCGTGCCTTGTTTGCTGTTCATGCTCTAATAGCATCACAGTCAAATGGCTTACAAAGTCTCACACTTGCCTCTGTTTTGTTTTTCTGTTGCAGGGATTGACTGGGCTCCCAAAAGTGACCGTATAGTGACATGCGGAGCGGACCGTAACGCCTACGTGTGGTCTCAGAAAGATGGGGTGTGGAAGCCCACGCTGGTCATCCTCAGGATCAACCGAGCAGCCACGTTCGTCAAGTGGTCTCCGCTGGAGAACAAGTTTGCAGTTGGCAGTGGAGCTCGACTCATCTCCGTGTGCTACTTTGAATCTGAAAACGATTGGTGAGGAAGGAATATCCTTAGATTTAGAATAACTGTTTTTGTTCTTCTGTGCTAGGTGCTAATGCTTTTTTAATTTGGGTCAGGTGGGTGAGCAAGCACATAAAAAAGCCTATCCGCTCCACCATCCTCAGTCTAGACTGGCATCCCAACAATATCCTTCTAGCTGCTGGCTCGTGTGACTTCAAATGCAGGTAAAATTCATCTACAAGTAGGGGAATTAGGAAGAAAATGATGTAATGACTAGAAAACTGACTAACCTTCTTACTTCTGATTTCTCCTCTTAACACTGTCCCCCTCCCTCTTGGCCCTCCAGGGTGTTCTCAGCCTACATTAAGGAGGTGGAAGAGAAACCAGGCCCCACACCCTGGGGTAGCAAGATGCCATTTGGGGCTATTCTAGCAGAATTTGGGGGAGCAGGTCTGTATTCATGGCTATTTTTATGAGATCTGTTCTTCTTCTTCAACTAAATGTAACCTGTTTGTGTGCCATTGTGTCAGGTGGAGGGGGATGGGTCCACTCTGTTTCTTTCTCAGCCTCTGGTAACCGTCTGGCGTGGGTCAGCCATGACAGTACAGTCACTGTGGTAGACAGCTCGAAGACTGCCAGGTATGTTTGGTTCTTCTGCACATCTGAGGCCTTGTCTGTTCCCAAATAACTGCGCTTTAATCCAAGCTGGCCTGAAATAAGGCTTTACTCACGTTTGTAGTTGAGGACTTAAAAACATCGACATATAAATACTGGACAATTCATTTCCATAGGCTCCAATATCACGTTTTTGAGGCCAAATGGGAGGTGGCCACCACCGCCATTTTGACCGTGTCACAGGTTCCGTCAAGCCCAGGCAATTCCATAAAAGGGAAGAGAGGTGGAGCTGAGGGTGGGGCTGTAAGGCTGGGATCAACTGACGACACCCGGTCGAACTAGCTACAAGCTAACACGGAGGTGGGAGCTAAGCTAACGGAGGTAGCAACCTAGCTACAACCAGAGTTAACTGTACACAACACCAGAGCTTCTGAGTCAGAGATACGCCGGGCTGACCGCTGGGTAAAACCGAGTGGAACACCGAGACCTCCACAAGCCGGCAGCCGCACAGCAGACAAGCGCCGCTGCGATCTGAGATGCGCAGAGCTGCTGCTGGGGAGAACCGGGTGGAAAGGTTTCCATCCCAGAGCTCCACAAGCCGGCAGCCCGCGCAGCAAACAGAAGCCGCGATCAGACAGAAACGCGCCGAGCTGCGGGGAGGGGAGAACGGGTGGAAAACATCGGTCTCCCGAGAGCTCCACAAGCCGATAGTTGGAACCCAGCTCCACCAACATGTTATATTTCTTCTAAAGTGCAGCATTATGTTAAATGCACTGGATTTTACCCTATTACATTTAAATTTCATGGTTAAACAGTACATGTTAAAATCTAAGCTCAGCTCGGCAGTGACCTAAAATGCATAAATATAATTTTACTTACCAAAAAAAATGAAGTGGAGACTCCTTGGATGCTCTATTAGTGCAATTAATGCCACAGCAAGTCATTTTGTCCAACAATTGCACAAAAAATATCCAAACAAGAATACACAAACACAGAGACTCAAAATCCCGGAACAGTTTCCAGGCGAGGCCGAGGCTCTACTGAGGCCTTTCCACGGAGCTAGCTCTGTGGTCACATGGGTCTGATGCTCATTAATTATACAGAATTTTAGGCTTTTAATACACTTAAACAGAAGAGTGAGAAAAAAATTCACCCCCCTCAGAGTTGTCATGAGTGTAAACTAGATAATTTAAACCAAAAACATGTTTTGGTACCAGGCTGTAAACATTTTTATTTCTGCTGTGAAATTGGTATTTTTAACATGGGAGTCAGTGAGGATTTGCTCGCTTCTGACACCAGCCCCTAGTGGATGAGGGTGGAACTACAATTTTTGGTACTTCCGGGTTGAGACCAATTTCTGAGCCGCATTGTTGGGGCTTGCTTAAAAATCATCAATAAGATTATTTTGTTGCATTAAAATTGTCAGAGCAATAATAATTTAGTAGGAATTAATGTATAATTTAAGAATACCACAATGTTATTTTGTCTGAACAACAATACATGTCATATTCATTGGTAAGTGGCTGTAATGAAATCATCTATTGAGGCTTTCGGTAGGTTGCCAAACAAGGGTGTGTACTGGCAAAAAATCTGATAATACACACCTGGGATTCTCAGCCACTGAGCTTAGTGCATTTTCTCGGGGAAACCCTGCATGATGGTAAACTCGGGAGTCGGCCAGCCAGCCCCTAGAGGATGAGGGGAGAATTAAAAAAACTTCACTTCCATGTTGGCTTCACATTTAGCAGGCAGTTTGCCCTTTGATCACAATACAGGGTATGATATAGTGTGACTCTTAGAACCAGATTATATTTGTATTTAAGACACTTCCAAGACCCATCCAGTGTTATTATGAGACCTTGTTGTTGCACATCGACATAATATTCGTGCACATCTTCTTTCCATAGGCTCCAATATCACTTTTTTGAGGCCAAATGGGAGGTGGCCACCACCGCCATTTTGACCATGTCACAGGTTCCGTGAAGCCCAGACAATTCCACAAAAGGGAAGAGAGGTGGAGCTGAGGGTGGGGCTATAAGGCTGGGATCAACTGACGACACCCGGTCGAACTAGCTACAAGCTAACCCAAAGCTAATGCGGAGGTGGGAGCTAAGCTAACGGAGGTAGCAACCTAGCTACAACCGAAGTTAACTGTGCACAACACCAGAGCTTCTGAGTCAGAGATACGCCGGGCTGACCGCTGGGTAAAACCGGGTGGAACACAGAGGTCTCCGAGACCTCCACTAGCCGGCAGCCGCACAGCAGACAGGCGCCGCTGCGATCTGAGATGCACAGAGCTGCCGCTGGGGAGAACCGGGTGGAAAGGTTTCCATCCCAGAACTCCACAAGCCGGCAGCCCGCGCATCAAACAGAAGCCGCGATCAGACAGAGATGCACCGAGCTGCGGGGAGAACCAGCCGGCATTCCGGGTGGAAAACATCGGTCTCCCTAGAGCTCCACAAGCCGATAGTCAGAACCCAGCTCCAACAACATGTTATATTTCAACCCATTTTCTAAGGTGCAGCATTATGTTAAATGCACTGGGTTTTACCCTATTACATTTAAATTTCATGGTTAAACAGTACATGTTAAAATCTAAGCTCAGCTCGGCAGTGACCAGTGGTCACGTGGGTCTGATGCTCATTAATTATACACAATTTTAGGCTTTTAATACACTTAAACAGAAGAGTCTCTCGTCTCGTCTCGTCTTCCTCCGCTTATCCGGGTCCGGGTCGCGGGGGCAGCATCCCAACTAGGGAGCTCCAGGCCGTCCTCTCCCCGGCCTTGTCCACCAGCTCCTCCGGCAGGACCCCAAGGAGTTCCCGGACCAGATTGGAGATGTAACTTCTCCAACGTGTCCTGGGTCGACCCGGGGGCCTTCTGCCGGCAGGACATGCCCGAAACACCTCCCCAGGGAGGCGTCCAGGAGGCATCCTGACCAGATGCCCAAACCACCTCAACTGGCTCCTTTCGATCCGGAGGAGCAGCGGTTCTACTCCGAGTCCCTCCCGAATGTCCGAGCTCCTCACCCTATCTCTAAGGCTGAGCCCGGCCACCCTACGGAGGAAACAGAAGAGTAAGAAAAAAATTCACCCCCCCTCAGAGTTGTCATGAGTGTAAACTAGATCATTTAAACAAAAAACATGTTCTGGTACCAGGCTGTAAACATGTTTATTTCTGCTGTGAAATTGGTATTTATAACATGGGAGTCAATGAGGATTTGCTCGCTTCTGACACCAGCCCCTAGTGGATGAGGGTGGAACTGCAATTTTTCTTACTTCCGGATTGGACTAAATTTTAAAGTTGCATTGTGGGGGCTTGTTGTTGCATCAGAATGAAGGCGGTAAAAACTGCTGCCACCTAGCAGCCAGAGTTTAAATTGCACCAAACAAAAGAAATACAGGAAATCTTTACACATAGATAAATAATCCAAACACTGCTTTTAAATGCAAATTCAGTATCATAACGTGAAATTTTGCTAAATTTTAGTGTGTTGGTGTTTTTTTACATCCCTTTAACCTAAGGTAACTGGAAATAACATTTTTTTAGTCTTTGTTTACAAAAGTCGGATCGTTTCTGTGACGACCCACCAAACTTGAACATGTTTTGGCCGGTTGTCTTTTTCAAATGTAATGAGAATAAAATAAATCTCCAAACTTTTTTCTGTCGTTAGTCCCTCACAGCTGAAGACAGAATTCCTCCCTCTCCTCAGTGTCATTTTTGTTTCAGAGAACAGTCTAGTAGCTGCGGTAAGAATAACAAAGCACACATCTTCTTTACCCTTTCTATCCACAGCTATCTATTTAATGTGGGGTGGGGTTTTTTTTCATCAGGGCCACGACTGTTGCCCTATGCTCTTCCGTTGTGACGACGGTGGAACGCTGACATTTGTGTCGAAGCTTGACCTCCCTAAACAGAGCATCCAGAGGAACATGTCAGCCATGGAGCGCTTCAGGAACATGGACAAGAGAGCCACCACTGAGGACCGCAACACAACCCTGGACACACTGCACCAGAACAGCATCACGTGGGTCCATCACCAAGCACTGATGTGACATGAAAAAATGTTCACAATTCTATCAGACTTATTGCTCATGTTGATCAAAATATCACAACATGGTGTCAGAATATATTTTTTAAAAGCCTCCATTTTCAGTTAAACGTGTTTATTTAAACGTTTGGGCAGTGCATCGTATGTTCATTTTTGAGATTTCCTGAAGGTTTTTGTTTACTTTTGATTTTTCCCTTCCCTTTTTTAACCATTTGTGTTCATCTACACTTTTTCTCTTTTAGCCAAGTGTCTATCTATGAGGGAGATAAAAGGGATTGTCGTAAGTTCTGCACCACTGGCATCGACGGAGCAATGACTATTTGGGACTTTAAGGTGATCATTCTTAAAATCAACAGCTCTATTCATTTTTGCCACTTTTAACACAGACTCCCCCTATTCTTACCTCCTCAGAGCCTAGAAGCTTCTATTCAGGGTCTGCGCATCATGTGAAGACGTATGAATGAATGAAGAAACGCTGCAGCCTCATGCCCACACACACACACACTCCACACCTGTGTGATGCAGCAGTAACATACATAACTGACCACCTTATTGAGTGTCTGCCTCAGCACTCAGACCATTATACTCTCTAGTGGGTGTGTACCTACATGCTCATATCTTCACACACACACACACACACAGCGTGCTGATATGTGAGATCACTAATTTTCTTTATTTGGTTTGTTTGCTTTTAAATGAAGGTTAACCAGGTGTAAAAGTGGGAAGGTTTTCTGACACGTATTAAACGTGATGTGACGTGTGTTTTTATGTTTTCTAACCTCCAGTACCAAAAGTTGAACACTAAAAGGTGTGTTTTATCCAAAAATCAGACTTTATTCACCTCAGATCAACCGTAACATGATCGATCAATGTAGGTGTTGAGTCCTGTACTCTGGTGGCTGGGAATCTGCTCTTCCCTGGAGGATCTAATTATCTGTTGTTGGGATTAAGGCCTGGGGGTATCGATGTTCTAAGTACGTGTTGATGGTTGTCTGCTAAAATCTGGAGAAAAGCAGCGGTCTCAAGTGTGGGTGGAGCCATGGCTGACCAGCACTAGGCTCTGTAGCCACTAGACTAAAAACCACAAATGGAGGATTTCTATGTAACTGATCATGAGGTAGACGTGAAATAAAGATGAAATACATTTACACTACACAAAAACTGGGGTTCTGTCTTGTTTTGTTGTGGATATTCTGCACTGATTGAACAGTAAGTTTTTGCATTGGTTTTTGGAAAGGATTTGCTTTTTTGAAAGAAGTCTTACATTAGGTGTTTAAAGTGAAGTGGCTTTTAGTAAAGTTGTTGCATTTTTTAAAACTTGATTTCCTGTTGGCATCCTAAATGGTTTATTACTGATATGCTAATGAATATTTTGATTGCATCAAATGGCTCTGATCTCCAAAATTTCAATGTGGTTCATGCAACAATATTTTTTAAATGTGAAAGCGGTAGCTCAGGAGGTAGAGCGGGTTGTCCAGTAATTGGAAGGTTGCAGGTTCAATCCTGGCTCTGACCAGAGAATTCTGCAGTTTTGTCCTTGGGCAAGACACTTAACCCCCATTGCCTGCTGGTGGTGGTCAGAGGGACCGGTGGCGCCAGTGCTTGGCAGCCTTGTTTCTGTCAGTGCGCCCCAGGGCAGCTGTAGCTACATCATAGCTCATCCCCACCAGTGGGTGAATGACTGTGTTGTGAAGTGCCTTGGGGGGTTGTAGAAACCTAAGGTGCTATAGAAATGCAGGCCATTTACCATATAAAGCTATTTGTCACAATTTTCATTGTGCGGTTATTTACAAAGTTTTTTGATTGTTTATTAAAGCAAATCTCACCAGCAGCACAACAAAATTAGGCAGGTGCTTAAATTTGGGCACTACATAAATGAACTCAACATTTAGTAGATCTTCCTTTTACAGAAATAACGGCCTCTAAATGCTTTCTATAGCTTCCAATGAGAGTCGGGACTGGCTGAAAATATTTTAGGCCATTGCTCTTCACAAAACATATCTAGTTCAGGTTTGATGGCTTCTGAGCATGGACCGCTCTCTAACTCACCACAGATTTTAATTAATATTCAGGTCTGGGGACTGAGATGGCCATTTCAGAACGTTCTTCTTGTCCCTCTGCTTGAATACTTAAGTGGAATTTGAGCAGTGTTTGTTGAAAGACCCAGCCCCAGTGCAGCTTCAGCTTTGTCACTGATTCCTGGACATTGGTTTCCAGAATCTGCTGATATTGAGTGGAATCCTAGCATCCCTCAACTTTAACAAGATTCCCAGTCCCTGCACTGGCCACACAGACCCACAGCATGATGGAACCACCACCATGTTTTACTGTAGTTAGCAGGTTTTTTTTCTTGGAATGCTGTGTTCTTTTTCCTCCATGCATAACACTGGGCTGCATGGTGGCGCAGTGGTTAGCACTGTTGCCTCGCAGCACGGAGGTCGCAGGTTCAAAACTCGGCTGCGGCCTTTCTGCGTGGAGTTGCGTGTTCTCCCCATGCATGCGTGGGTTTCCTCCGGGTGCTCCGGTTTCCCCCACAGATCACAACATGCCCTGTAGGTTATAAATTGTAAGTCGCTTTGGATAAAAGCGTCTGCTAAGTAAATAAACATAAACACCCCTTGTCATGCCCAAAGAACTCCGTTTTAGTTTCATCACTCCACAACACCTTATTCCAGAATGAAGCTGGCTTGTCCAAATGTGTTTTAGCAAACCTCAAGCAGCTCTGTTTGTGCTCAACTCAACTCAGCCTGTATTTATAAAGCACCTTACAGTCATGAGCATGCCACCAAAGTGCAGTACAACAAAAGAGTAAAACAATAAAACATATAGCGCTACAGACATAATTAAAACCACAAATGAGAATTATAAAATATAAAACGTTAACAATTGCTAACTCACAGAATTAAAAGCCAGATCATAAAAGTAGCTTTTCAGCCTCATTTTAAAAACTGCTACTGATGGAGAGTCCCTAATAGCTAGGGGTAGTGCGTTCCACAGTTTCGGACCCACAACAGAGAACAACCTGTCCCCTCTTAACTTTAACCTAGCCTTACACTAGCAGCAGCTAGTTCTCAGAGCGGAGTGACTGGGCTGGAGCATATGGCTGCAGCAACTCCGCCAAATAGGCTGGAGCCACACCATTCAGCTCCTTAAACACCATTAAAAGAACTTTAAAACGAATTCTAAAATCAACAGGCAACCAGTGGAGAGCAACCAAAATTGGTGTCACATGTTCATGCTTTCTTTTGCAGTCCAAGAATTTAGCTGCAGCATTCTGGACAAGCTGCAGTCGGGTTACAGCTACTTAAAACCAAATAAAACGGAATTGCAATAGTCGAGTCGTGAGGTAATAAAAGCATGAACAACAGTCACAAGGTCACGTCTAGATAAAAATGGCTTTAGCCAAACGTCTTAAATGATAAAATAAAGAGGATACTACAGTACCCACATGAGCATCCATGCAGAATGCACTGTCCATCTTTACGCCAAGGTTGACTGCTGAAACACACAGATAGGAGTTCAGTTCACCACAGTCTACATTGGAAAAATCTAAATGTCCACTCAGTCCAAACAACAGTGCCTCTGTTTTTTTCCATTGAGACACAGGAAGTTTTCTGCCAACCATATCTTAATTTCTGCCAAACAATCCAAAAAAATTTTTATTGTATGGTCACCGGCGCCATCTAGAGGTAAGTACAATTGGCAGTCGTCGGCGAAGAGATGGAATCCAGTTCCAAACTTTCATAGAATGTCACCCAATGGGAGAATATAAATGGAAAACAGAAGGGTCCCAGTATAGAACCCTGTGGTATCCCCCAAGGCAGATGTGAGAAGCCAGATGAGAAACCACCCATCCTCACACGAACCATCCTGTCACGTAAATAAGATCTAAACCAATTTAGGGCTTGCCCAGAAATTCCCACATAATGTTCAAGGCAATGGAGCAACACTTCGTGGTCTACGATATCGAAAGCTGCTGTGAGATCCAATAGGACTAGCAGCAATGGACTGCCACCATCTGTTGCTAGAAGAATATCATTAAAGACTGGGAGGCTGCGGGCGGGCCTGTGGGCTTGCCGCCGATATCTCTCGGGATTCTGCCGGCTGCTGGTTGTGGCCCCCCCGGGGCGATCCTCTGCGCTTCTCGAGGAGGGCGGGGGCTTTTCTGGTCGCAGTCTGGGGTTCCTATGCTCTGGGGCAGCTCCTGGATCTCTGGGACTTGGAGCTCCCTCGGTCTCCTGCACATCTTTAGGGGGCAGATCTGTGGCCCCTCACACTCTCTATTGGATGCTCCTATAGAGAAACCTTACATAAAAAAGCGCATGTACACACACAGGTGCTCACATGGTGTATGGACTTGGGCACGTTCAACACAGGTCTTAAGGCTATGGTTGGCACTAAATGCACTGTGATTTATCATCATGTGATTGTTCAGTTAAACAATGTTGATTATATATTTCTTCATCAAGTTGACGCAGTGATAGCTTGCTCCTGTTGTATTGTTGTTGTGTCCCTTTTTTTTCTCTCTCTCTTTTCCTGCAGGTCTAGAAGCAGACTCTTGTTCATTATTGTTTATTTTTGTGGAACCCCCCACCCCACCACCACCTTTTGTCTCTTCCTTTCTCTTTCACCTCTGTCTCCGTGTCTGGTCGGAATTAAAAAGCATTCAAAAACGATAACAATAAAGTTTTAAGTATCAGGCGTGACATTAAAAGCAGACGCTTTGACGCTCCACCTGAGAGTAAATCTGTAAGGCTTGTTACCATCATTCAGACATCGATTCTGTTTGCTTCACAGCCAGACAGGACACGGAAAAAAAAAGAAAACAAAAAAGAATATCATCAAAGACCTTGATTAGGGCAGTTTCGGTACTATGCAACATTTTAAAACCTGATTGGAGGGTCTCTAAAATATCAAAGTTCTTAAAGAAGTCCATTAGTTAGTATAGACACATTTTTCAAGCATCTTACCCAAAAAAGGGAGTTTGGAGATTGGCCTATAATTCACTGGTAATGAAGCAACCATCCCAGGTCTTTTTAAAAGTGGATGAATAACTGTTTTTTTTTTATCTGTCGGTACAAAACCAGAAGCAAAGCTGTTGTTGATTATGTGCAAAATCAGTGGTGCGACTGTTTGAAAAACTTCCATAAACAAACACGGGGTAAAATATCTTCTGGTGACCCACTAGGTTTAGCATCTTTTAACAAACTGGTGAACTCCGCAAGTGGTACTGGATGAAAAGAGACCAGCCATTCCTCAAAAGACGTAGAGGATCTTAACACACTAGATTTAGGCAGGGCGTCTCGCAGCATCACCACCTTGTCGATAAAAAATTGAAGGAAGCTGTTACACACAGATTCAGGGGCCTGTACAGGTGAATAATCTTCCACATTCAGCACAGAGTTTATAGCTGCATACAAAACCAGAGGTTTGTTGGCATTAGCATGCACAAGGTTGGAATAATAGGCAGTCTTTGCGGATTTAACAATTTCCTGATAAGATTTCCAACTTTCTCTAAGGGCCATTAAAGATAAATGCAGCTTATCATTTTTCCACTTTCTTTCACACCTCCTGCATTCCCTTCTTGCAGCCCTGGTGCTTTCAGTAGACCACACATTAGCACCATGAGTTGCCTTTTTTGGGTGAAGAGGCGCAATGGTGTCCATAATGTCCTTACAGGTCTGATTAAAATAACAGAGCAGATCATCCAAAAGTGACCAATCACCCACATAAGGCTCAGCCCTATTAAATAACAAGGAAAACTGTACTGATGTAGCACTGTTCACAGGACGAGAAAGTCAAATAGGAACTGTAGAGTCAACAACACTACCACGCACAGTAGCGTCAAATAGTACAGGCTTGTGGTCTGAAAAGACAGCATCCTGAATACACACGTTGGACACCATGCATCCAAGTGACAGCACAAGATCCAGAGTGTGACCGCATACCTGAGTGGCTGCATTTACCCACTGGGTAAAACTAAAAGAGTTCACGAGATTAACAAAATCTGCAACCAGTGGTTTTCCAGGGCAGCAAACATGAATATTAAAGTCTCCAAGCAACATAATCCTGTGCCGTGGGAGGAGAAGTCTTCCTCTGCACCACTCACATGCAGCATCTCCTTGTGTTAAGTGCACCCAATAGTTGAACGAGGCACAGTGACTCCATCTGCAGCAAGATGATGTTGTAGGTCTTTGGTTCTGGTCTGGGGGTTGACTCTGACTATTCTCACCATTCTTCACTTCTGTTTATCTGAATATTTCTTGGTCTGACACTTGGAGCCTTAACTTGAACTGAGCCTGTGTTCTTCCATTTCCTCAATATGTTCCTAACTGTGGAAACAGAAGCTGAAATCTCTGAGACAGCTTTCTGTATCCTTCCTCTAAACTATGATGGTGAACAATCTTTGTTTTCATGTCATGTGAGAGTTGTTCTGAGACCCCATGTTGCTGCTCTTCAGAGAATATTCAGAGGGAAACTACAATCCCCCCTTAAATACTCTTTTTCTTAACTGGATTCACCTGTGTATGGAGGTCAAGGGTCATTGAGCTTACCAAACCACTTTTCAGTCCCAATAATTCTAAACGTTTTGGAATCAAATGACAATAGAGCCCAAATTTATGCACCTGCCTAATTTTGTTTAAAGAGTGAGTCACCCCCTACCAGAGTCTAACTCCACTCCCACTTCATGTTTGGAAAATGCAACAAATGCTGTTGCCTGGCAGACCGAGAGGGCGGAGCCGCTAACAAATACACACACACACAGGCTCACAACAGCATTGTGACATCATAATGTAACAGTTTACATCATAGCATACCTCTCAGCCAATAGCAGTGGCAGATTTAAATTCAAATACAGTGCAGAGTTTTTACCTGACAACGGCACAACACTGCCAGTTTTAGGCAGAATATTTAAATTTTAACTAAGATGCACTGAAGTGCCAAATTATTGATGACACGTGTCTGCAGCACGATTAGACACTCGTTTATTTAGTTTATCAGCAAAAAGAGTTGATTTGTGGGTGACTTGCTCTTTAAACAATCATTTCACACTTTCTGTAAACCCTATAAACCTTGTTTCACTTCTCAAACATCACTGTGTGTGTCTCCTGTTTAATATATTTAACTGAAATTACCAACCAATGATTTATACAGGAAAATCGTGAAGATTAACAAGGCTGCCCAAGCTTTTGCATCCCACTGTATACTTTGAACAAAATATAAATGCAACTCTTGTTTTAATCTCATTTTTCATGAGCTGAACTGAAATATCTGAAACATCAAATTACACAAAAAATGACCCACTACTCTCAAATATTGTTCTCAGATCTAAATCTGTGATGGTGGGCACTTCTACTTTGCCGAGGCAATCCATCCCACATCGCAGGTGTGGCGTGTCAAGGTGCTGATTAGACAGAATGAATTTTGCTCAGGTGTGCTTTAGGCTGGTCAAACTAAAAGGACACTCTGAAACGTGCAGTTTGATCATGCACCACAGTGCCACTGATGTTGCAACTTCTGAGGGAGTGTGCAGTAAGCGTGCCGTCTGCAGGAATGCCTACCAGAGCTATTGCTCGTGAAATGAATGTTCTTTTCTCTGCCATAAGTCGTCTCCAAAAGCCCCTCCCCCATGTCCGAGCTTCTCACCCAGTCTCTAAGGGAGAGCCCAGACACCCTGCGGAGAAAATTATTTTTGGCTGCTTGCAATCTCATTCCTTCGGTCAGCAACTTGCAGGAAATTATTGTCCTTAAAATGATCCGTGAACTGCAAATGATAAATCTTAAATTTAATTTTAGACATTTCTTTAAACTGATTCCAAAACATCCATCTTCATCCAATATCTGCTTATCCAAGCAGGGTCACAGGGGGCTGGTGCCTATCTCCAGCAGTCTCCGGGTAAACAGGCAGGGTACATCCTGGACAGGTGCTAGTCCATCTCATGGCGACACAGAGGGACCAAAATCCATGAACACACCCACATAAGGACAATTCAGAGAGGCCAATCCACCTAAGTCTTATCATTGGCCAGTGGGAGAAAGCCGGCTCCCCCACACGACTGTTGTAGTAAGTAAGTAAGTAAGTAAAAGTTTATTTATATAGCGCCTTTCACAGATATAAATCACAAAGCGCTGTACAACATGATAAAGATCAGAGCAAATTCCTCTAACCAATAAAAACATCAGAAAAACAATAGCACTGATAAAATAGAAAATAAAATCATGAGTATAAACAAAGTGAAGGTGTGAACCCGAACAAAGCCATCTTTTTGAACATTTAGGGAGGGAACGCCTGGATGAAAAGGTGAGTTTTTAGACGATTTTTAAAGACCTCTACAGTGTTAGAGAGACGGAGATTTGAAGGTAGACTGTTCCAAAGTCTGGGTGCAGTAGTCTGAAAGGCCCTGTCCCCTTTGGTTTTCAGTCTGGTTCGAGTACTTCTAACCCTAAATTGAGGAAATCTAAAAAAAAAACATTTTTTATGTGAGTCGCATGAGTCGAGTATGTCTGTTTTTCTTTAAATTATTTCTATATCATCTGAAAGACCAGGTTCAAAATGTGAATATTTCCCTTTTTACATCTCATGGTGCCTCTCTTTCCTTCTTCTGTCTACATTTTTAGTTGTCTTCCTTCCTTTTTAACTAGTTCTTTTATGCACAAGTAACTGTCTGCTCCGCCCACTTTTTCCATTTCTTTCATACTTTTTCTGCCCTCCTTATTCAGTCCCCTCCTCCTCCTCCTCCTCTTTTTTGAGTTACATTGTCTTGGCTTCTTCTACTTCCCCCTTCAGTCTCCATTTCTTCTCATTAAACCTTACCCTTCACCTGGACTCCTATCCTAATCAAACCCAAAGTTTATCCACCTCTTAGAAAAACACTGCCTGATCACTAAAGTTGCAAACTTCCTGTATGTCAACGTTCCTGTGCACCTCCTCCTCCACTTCCCCTTCAGGCTTCTCCTCCCTCTCTTTAGCTCGGCTCCTCTCTTCCTGAGCTCACTCTTGTCGTTGGCGTTCGCGTTGACTGGCCAGAGTCCGCGGGCTGAACACCCTCCTTTTTTACTTTTTAGATTCACCACCTCCTTCTGCCTCTTCTCTTTCTCCTCTCTCCCGTCTCTGCAGCTTGTCACCCATTCATCTCCGTCCTGCCCTCTGGGTAAGTAGCCTACAAGTTTTTTTTCCTTTCCAACCCACTGAACATGTCACACACCCCCAAGCACAGTTTGTAAAGAGGGACACATTTCTAGAGAACGGCTCACAAAGGGTACTACCTTCATTCAGAGCAGACACAAGCGTACGTTGTGTAATATTTCATTTATCTTTTGCTTTAAAGATAATGTTTTAAGAACTTCCTCCTGTTTTCTCAAACTGTCTTAGGGATGTGTGACCCTTGACCTGCATATTTCTTTAGAGTCCTCTGAAAGTCTGGGTTTCTTTAGAGCAGCCTGAAATAAATGTATGTTTAGAGTGTGTTTCCATCTCACACACTCTAACCGAGGGTGTGTTTTATCTCTTAAACTGTTTAAATTTATAGAAGCTGTTAAACAAATACATTTTATAATCATTAATATTTCATCTGTCTTCTCTCTGCTTCCTCCTTTCAGTGATCTTAACTTCTGTTTTTTAGACTGGACTGTTACTCCCCCAGCCCACCTTCCTCTGGTTCCTCTCCTCACTTCCTGGTCTGAGTCTGACACCTGATTGGCCATGGCGTACCACAGCTTCTTGCTGGAACCAATTAGCTCTCATGCCTGGAACAAAGATCGGACCCGTAAGTCTGATCGTCCTCTGACTGTCTAAATCGAAAACCCTTTGGGTACGTTTTCCTCCGATTACTGTCTCTGATGAAGCAGAGGCAGTGTTACAAGCAGAGGTTTGCGATTGGCGCTTAGGTGGAAGAAGGCATTTCCTGTTTCCTGTAGCAGTCAGGGTGCAGTCTGGGTCTTTCTGAGAAGCGTTTGTGTTCCTTTAGAGGAAACCAGTGCCTTGTTTGGCTTTTTAGATCAGCACTTTGGTTTTTGTGGCATCTGCTGTAGGCCGTCCACATCGCTGCTCCTAAACACCTCTTCTGACTCATCTGCTGTGGGCTTTGCTGCAGTTTAGAAGCAGAAATGTTCTACCACACTATTTATAGACAGTCTGTGCTGTCCCCAGGCAGACGTTCCATGTTTCTGTAGTTTTCTCCATCTGCAGTCATCTGATCTATAGCTCATTTCACCATGTTACAACTATAGTCATCTCCATCTCTGAACTTGTGCTGATGAGTTTGCTCTTTATTGAGGATATTTGCAGAGGCATCTGGGTTTTGTTTTGGCGTAATTCAAAGTGTTTCTGTGTTCCAGAAATTGCCCTGTGTCCCAATAACCATGAGGTTCACATCTTCAAGAAAGACGGGACCAAATGGACCAAAATCCATGAGCTGAAGGAGCACAATGGTCAGGTGACAGGTGAGACATTTTCTAGTTGCATTTTTTGACTGTCCCAACTTCCTGTTTGTCTGAAACAATGTCACATATAGTAACCATGTAGCAGCCAAGAGCTTCACCCATTAAAACAAATGAGTTGGAAGAATACACTTCTAGTGATGCTTTTCTTGAGATTTTGGTGTAAATGTATTAATTTCTATAACTTTATCATTTTCTTTTATTCAATGAAAAAGATGAATTTGAGATCAACTGTTTTTATGGCGACTCCATTCATATGGTTTCCTCTTTTTCATTGCTGGCTGTTCTTATGCAAAACTGAACTCTTTTACTTCGTCCTCCCAGCTCTGACTCAAATGTAAATGTATTTGTAGAAAACCTGTTCAGACAAACAGATTTTTGCCTGATCAGTCTATGAAATTTTATTTTAGTAAAATTCTCATTTTGTTACTAAAAATGTGATTCTTCTTCAGATTCTCCCTTCAGTGGCATTCCTCAGGGTTGTATTCTAGGACCTATATTTACCATTTATGCTTCCTCTGGACCCATTTCTAGAAAACACAAACACAAATCCCTTTTCATATTTCTAAATGCTTCTCTTTCACTTAAACCCCATTTTTTATTATTATGCTAATATTGAAGCTCGGGTGAGTTTAAACTCCCTCACATGGACCAAAGACAATACTGGCCTTTGGTAAAAATCTGACAAATTTTGAATCCAAACATCTGTGTTTAAGGTTTGATTTTAATTTTGAGTCGAGAAACAGATTAGACCAATGATAAATCGAATTCTTAAAACCAAAGTTTTTATTTAGGGTGAAGGTTTTTGTTTGATTGCTTTTAAAGGTTGTTTACTATTTTGTGGTGTGTTTCTAGCTTGAATTTTGTCTTTGGTGCTTTAATGTGGTGTTTCCCCATTTTTCTTAAGCATCTTGGGTAAAAATGTGCTTACATGCTTCATAAGTGGTAACCTACCTGTTTTGAATGCTTATACCCTGCAGATAATGAAACTTTCTTTTCCTCCAGGGATTGACTGGGCTCCAGACAGTAACCGTATAGTCACCTGTGGAGCTGACCGTAACGCCTACGTGTGGACCCTGAAGGAGGGGGTTTGGAAGCCCACTCTGGTCATTCTCAGGATCAACCGCGCCGCTCGCTGTGTGAAGTGGTCACCTAAAGAGAACAAGTTTGCTGTGGGCAGCGGCTCACGGCTCATCTCCATTTGCTACTTTGAGCAGGAAAATGACTGGTGAGTTTGCAGGGAATTCCAATATGCAGTTAAATAAAGTAAATGACTTATAGGTACCATATTACTGGATGTAGTAGCTGTATTTGTTCTTGGATGCAGGTGGGTGTGCAAACACATCAAGAAACCCATCCGCTCTACCATCCTGAGTCTGGACTGGCATCCCAATAACGTCCTGCTGGCTGCTGGATCTTGTGACTTCAAGTGCAGGTGAGCCAAAGTTAGAAACAAGCTGATCTGTAAATGAAATGTATTATAACACTAAATAAATGGAAAACTCAATACACAAACAAGCTATTCCTCATTCTCTGCTCAGGGTGTTCTCAGCCTACATAAAGGAAGTGGAGGAGAAGCCCGGACCCACTCCCTGGGGAAGCAAGATGCCCTTTGGGGAGGTGATGTTTGAGTCTGGCGAGTCTGGAGCTGCAGCTCAGACCTCAGGTGGAGGAGGAGGAGGAGGTTGGGTGCACAGTGTGTGCTTCTCACACTCTGGAAACAGGCTAGCCTGGACATCCCATGACTCTACTTTGTCAGTCTCAGAGGGAGGCAAGACGGGAACGTAAGCAAGGGGGCGGGGCAGCACACCTGAGCGTGTGTGTGCGTGTGTGCGTGTGCGTGTGTGCGTGTGCGTGTGTGTGTGTGTGTGTGTGTGTGTGTGTGTGTGTGTGTGTGTGTGTGTGTGTGTGTGCGAGCGAGCGAGCTTCTGACTTTGACATTTTCTTCTGGTATTCTCAGGGTGAGCAGCCTGAGGTCTAAGACACTTCCTCTGCTGTGTGTGACCTTCATCACGGAGAACAGCTTGGTGGCAGCTGTGAGTCTTCGGCTAACATCTGATTTTAACAAAAATCAGCAACGTGTGCATTTTTGTATTTTATTTACCCTAACATTTTTTTTAGCTTGTAACTAATGTTAAACTAATGCTTCTTTTAAATTTAAACAAAGAGAGTCCAATCTTTTAGAAAAAGCTGCATATGAACTGCAAATCTGAAACAAACATTAAATATTGCCACGTAGAAACCACTCATGAAGCTCATTTTCATATAAAGAAAGCAGTTTTGTTTTATCAGGGGGTTGTTCGTGCATGGGTGTCGTAAAATCTACTGCTGGAACCAAACTTTTAGGAAGATGGCACAGAGACACAAACATCCTTAGTCGTGATCAGATGGGAAAAAAACAATTGTTCTCTCCTTTAATTGCACAAACTATTTATATGGAACATTTTGAAATGATGCTGCACTAATACTATATAACCTAAAATTCTAAATAATTTTCTAAACTGAATCCAAGCTTAATCTTTCTATGTTAGGGTCATGACTGCTACCCGATGCTGTTTGTGTATGATGGGGCCAAAGGGAGCCTGACATTTGGTGGCAAGTTGGACATTCCCAAACAGGCAGCCCAGAAGGGCATCAGCGCCAGGGAACGCTTCCAGAACCTTGACCGTCGAGCCTCAGAGACCCAGGGCACTCAGAAGGACCAGAACACACTCCACAAGAACAGCATCAGGTCAGCAATCAACAAAACTAAACTGTGTGATTTTGATAAAATGATCCTGTGCATGTTGACACTGTCTGGTGTATTACTACTCCCAGCCACCAGAGGCAGGAGTGAGTTGTGATGTAGCCATTATATATATATAAATATATATATATATATATATATATATATATATATACATACACCTGTACAAATAATGCACATTAGCTCGAAAAATGTTTTTTAAGCAAAATGGGAGGTTCCCACCACCACCATTTTGGTCGTGTCACATGTCTAGTCACTCCCAGACAGTCCAAAAATGGGAACAGAGTTGGAGCTGAGAGTGGTGCTGTAATGGTTGGAACAGGGTTGGAACAAATGAACCATTGTAGCTACTAGCTAACTTAGCTAACACAAGAAGCTAAGAAGGGGCTCTGGGGTAGCCGACCTGTGCAGGCTCTTGGCTTCACGCAAGGATGTAGTCATGCTGGTTGCCTTTTGAGCAATGATATGGACTTTTCAAATACAAGCAGAGCCTCAGACCACTGCAGTCAAAGCCTGGTGCCCTGGCCTCTTACGTGAGGTCATGCTCACCTCGGTCGGAGAACAGAAGGAGATTAGCTACATGCTAACTCAAGCTAACAGAGGTTTTTTGGGGCACTTTTAGTGAGAGAAATGCAATAAAGCGAATTCAAAATCAACTCAAAGTGCAGTGGTGTTTCTTTGATCTCCCTCAGAGAACTCCACAGCAGTGAAGCACAACTAAAACCTAGCATGAAGCCAGTCGGACACGTAGCGCGTCTCGGCCTCTTTCGGCTGTTCCTGGCCGTTCCCGGCTGAGAGACGGGAGAGGGCAGGCGCCCGCGCTGGGCTTCCTTTCGTAAGGATGAAGCAGCAGATTCACGGGTCTCTGATTGCAGGACTGCTGCTGTCAAAGGAAGAGGCACTTTACCGAAACTTTGCAAACATCTCTGCAGCTGTGACCTTGTAAATCTTTGACTGCAGTGGACCAGCGAAGCCCCGAAGCTTCTGCTAGCTAGCCTTGGTCAGTTTAGGAGGTTTGGTCCCCATTCAGCCAGCCAGCCAGCCCCACCAACAAGTTATATTTAAAACCATGTTTGACAAATATGTATGTTTTCTTTTCTTTTCTTTTGGTTTTTGTATTTTTGTTAGTTTTTTTAATTCAACAGCATATGTTAATTTTAATCCATATTTTGTCTTATTTTATGCACTTGGAATACGGATGAGTGCATGTGCACTTTTATGGGGTTTTTTTCAATTGTTTGAGATAAATAAATATAAAAATAAAAAATAATAAAAACAGGGCAGTGTTGTGTTAAATGCACACAAATGCACAGCATTTTCCCCTATTCAACCAGTGAAATAAAGTACAGAAATATAATTTTATTTACTGATAACAATGAAGTAGAGGCTTCTTGGATCATCTGTTAGAGCAGTCAATAACCACGGCTTGCCATCTTTGTCGTTGTCTAAATAATTCCATAATTAACATCCAGACACAAACACACAGAGGACACAACGTTGGTTACTTATTGTAACCCCAGATTCTATGAGTCTAGTCGCAGCCCTTAAGCTAGCTGCTATTGGAAGGATGATCTCCGCATCAGCCAATCATGAAGAGCTTAAATGTACGCCCACCAATAGTGGGCCCCCTCGTGGTATATAACCGCAGTGACCCCACTGCTCACCTCCAATGGCTCTTATTCCCATCATAACCAGTGGGGCCAGTGGCTTAAGGGCTGCGACTAGACTCATAGAATCTGGGGTTACAATACGTAACCAACGTTCTATTTCGTCTAGTCTTAGCCCTTAAGCTAGCTGCTATTGGAATAAAGCGCAGCTGGATGGGTTTACGCCCCACTGGTTAACACAACCAATGGACACACCCAATCAAATCTCCTCTAGTGGGGGACGTTCAGCCTCAGACCAGGCTTAAAGACTGAGGCAGGCACGATAAGAGAGGGGCCCCCACTAAAAAGCATCATCCACAAAAGGATGAAATCCATCTCAGCAAGGCCAATGAGGTGCCATAAGCATTCATTTAGCCTGCTGGGGTCCAAGCACTGAACGAGTGATGGATCCTGAAGACACATCTCGTAAATAATAACGAGTAAAGGAACAGGGTGAAGCCCATGAAGCAGCCTGACAAATGTCTTCCATTGACACACCACTGAGGAGCACCATCGAAGAGGAAATCCCTCTGGCTGAGTGAGCCCTGAGTGCCTCAGGGGGATCCTGCCCTGATGATGTGTAAGCGAGGGAAATGGCGTCACACAGCCAGCGTGAAAGGCGCTGGGCCGACAGCGCCTGACCAAGGGAAGACTCCCTGTAGTGCACAAACAGGTTTTGTGAGCGACTAATCCCTGAAGTGCGTGACACATATCGTGCAAGCGCGCGCACCGGGCAGAGAAGGTGAGAAGCCGCCTCCTCCTCAGAATTATGGGGAGGAGGAAAAAGTCCAGCCAATGAAATTGACCTGGATTTGAAGGAAGCATTAATGCTTTTGGGCACAAAGGCTGGGTTGGGGCATAAAACAGCAGACCCGCCATCCTCCCGGATCCTGAGGCATGCGGGAGCCACTGAGAGGGCGGTTAGGTCACTCACTCTCTTAACTGATGCTAGCGCCAGCAGCAATGCAGTTTTAAGCGACAGGAACTTGAGTGAGACCTGGTCCAAGGGTTCAAATGGAGCTTCAGATAAGCCACGCAGAACCACCGTTAGATCCCATTGGGGAAAAAGCGGGCGGGACACAGGTCTGTTCCTCCTGACACCTTTTAGAAAACGTTTTGTGAGGGGATGATTGAAAACAGATCTATCTCCAAAACCCTGATGACATGATGAGATAGCTGCAGCATATGTCTTAACAGTGCTGAATGCGAGGCCCCTGTCTATCAGTATCTGCAGAAACGATAGGACATCCGCCAGCTGGCAGGAGAGCGCTTGAACATTCCGTTCTGCGCACCAGTTCTGGAAAGCTGCCCATTTAGCAGCGTAAGACGCAATGGTAGAGGGCGCCCGCGCACTCTGAATCGTGGCGACCACATCATGCGGCAGCCCAGAAGCCTCTAAGCGTGACCGCTCAGCGGCCAGACCCACAGCCGTTGGCCTATTTCCGGAGGATGTTTGATTATCCCATCCGCCTGGAGAAGGGCGTCCGCCCTCCACGGGGAGCCGGACACTAGCACTTGCAGGTCCGGAAACCATGACGCGGACACGCGTCTGGGAGCCACCAGAATCACCGAGAGCTGTTCCGACCGAACTCGGTCCAGGAGACGGGGAATCAGAGGGACTGGTGGAAACGCATAAAGGAGCGTTCGAGGCCAGGGCTGGTGTGAGAAGGCGTCCGCCCCGAGCGGGGGTCCGTCCCGGGGACTCAGGGAAAACCACAGGCGACACTGAGCGTTTTCGCGAGCCGCGAACAGATCCACAGACGGTTCCCCGAACCTGATCCAGATCTGTGATATCAGTGCAGGATGTAGACGCCAGTCGGAGTCGCGGGGTCCCCCTCTCGACAGGATGTCTGCCGCTACATTCAGTACCCCCGGAATGTAGATGGCTCTGATGGACAGCAGGTGGACATGTGTCCAACACAGTAAATCTGTGGCGACACGCAACAGTGGGAGGGATCGAACTCCCCCTTGGCGATTTATGTAGGCTGCCGCTACCCGGTTGTCTGTGTGAACTTCGACATGACGGCCCTCTAGAAGGGCAGCGAAGTGTCTGATCACATTCCTCACTGTCATAAGCTCCAACACATTTATGTGCTTGTGCGTGTGGGAGGGCCAGCGATCTGCCACCGTATGGGACAAGCACGTGCCCCCCCACCCCGACAGTGACGCATCCGTAAACACAGATACGTGTGACGGGAACACCGCGTGAGAGGATGCAGGGGTTCCCCCAGTGAGCGAGGTCCCCGCCCACTGAAGGGGGAATCCTCAACATACGTCTCTTCTGACGTATCGGGTGTACCCGGAGGCGGACGAACCAGCGTTGCAAGCGCCTCTTGCGCAGCAAACCTAGCGGCACTACTGAATGGGCTGCGGACATCATGCCCAGGAGTTTCATGACTAACCGGGCTCTCACGATCTTGCGGGGTTGAACACGGGAGATCACCGTGGAGAGATCTGCCGCTCTTGCAGGCGACAAACGTGCTCTCATTAGGGAGGCGTCCAACTCCACCCCGAGATACACAATCGACTGGGATGGAAGGATGGAGCTCTTTTCCCAGTTTATAGAAAACCCTAGGGTTGACAGATGCCCTGTCAACCTCCTGGTTTGCTGTGACGCCCCGTCCTTGGACTGAGCGCACAGGAGAAGATCGTCCAGGTAAAATAAGACCCTCATTCCCTCCGTGCGCAGTGGCTGCAGCGCGGTCTCCAGACATTTGGAGAAGGTGCGCGGGGCTAGCGAGTAGCCGAAAGGGAGGCGATTGAACTGATATTGAACTCCCTTGAACGAAAAACGCAGAAACTTCCGGTGGTTTGGAACTACTGGTATGTGGAAGTATGCGTCTTTCAGGTCGATTGACGTGAACCAATCCCCGGGGCGCACATATTCCAGGACTTGTCTCATCGTTAACATGCGGAAATGCATTACTGCTATGGAGCAGTTGAACAGGGACAGGTCGAGAATCGGCCTCATTCCTCCCAACTTCTTCGGTACTACAAAGTAGCGGGAGTAGAAACCCGAGAGTTCTTGTCCGCGAGGGACTCGGGAAATAGCGTCTTTGGACAGAAGTTCCCGCAGCTCCAGCTCTAGCGCCTGAGACTGTACTTGCGATGTGAACGTCGTCTCCACGATCCCGTTGAAGGGAGGTGGAGTGGCCTGAAAATGAAGTGTGTGACCGCAATGAATGGTGTCCGAAATCCATTTGCTCATGATGCAAAGGCGGCGCCACTCGTGCGCGCGTTCCGACAGTGGACGCGTGTGCGCGGTCACGTGAACAACGTCTGAGGGTTGTGCATGCGCCCTTACCGCCGTCGCCTGTACCAGAGAACTGGGGGCGACCCATGGAGGGCTGCGCTCGAAAGGGCAAGTGCAAAACAGCTGGAACAGGCTGGTCCACACCGCGGAGCGTGGAGTCCGAGAGTGAAGGACGAGTGGGAGCCGGGCCTGTGCACGGGGGCGACAGAGTGCTAGCGGATGGAGCCGCGCACTGTGCCGCCGCGCGTGGTCGAGACAGGGACATGACATCCCGCCCCACCCAACGGCGTGGGGAGAGCGGGAAGAGTTGGGCCTGGCCGGATGCTGGGGCCAGAGCGCAAATGGAGCGCACCCTTACGGCTGGCCATGTATTATGACTACCTGCAGGAACATGTGTGCGTGCAGCAGTGCTTGGTGTGGGGAACATGTGTGAAAACTCGGCAGAGGATTCTGCGGAGGACTGTAGGATTGAGCTCTTTGAGTGACGTTTTTTGGGTTTTATTTCAAAACCAACAACATCAGAACAATCAGTAACACACACATTCCCCCCAAAGAGTCACTTCCGTGGCTGCTTTCGGCGAGGCTCCTGCACCTGGGACTGCCAAGACGGCGTCTGCTGGCCCCGCCGGAACCGTTGTCCGCCATCTCGCTGGTCCCGCTGATGTGGAGCCGAAGCGGGAGGCCGGCTCCGTGGAGCGGGCGGTGCAGCTGGACATCTGAAGTTTCCGCGCCGTTCGTCCCATCCTCTGGCTGAATGGCCGGAGTGCGAGGCTGACCGAGGGTGGACCAGGTCTCGCACCGTAGCCGATAGTTCGGCCGTCTTCTGAGCCCTCTCAATGACGCCCCTAAGATGGGGACCAAACAGAACATCGGTGGTGATGGGGCCATCCAGCATCTCCCTTTGCAGATGTTCCGGAATGGAGGGCAGGGCCTTCAGCCAGATCGCTCGCTGGATGAGGGTCTGCCAGGCAGCGATGCGAGCAGAACCGGTGAGCACAGCAGCACACAGATTGAGGATAGCATCAGCAGTCTTTGTTATGACGGCTTTCGACTCCTCGGGAGCTTCCAGCTCCTCCATCATCTTGGAGACGCCGAAGGCAAGAAGTGCGATGTTATTCCCTGCAGCGCCGGTCTGAAAGGCACACTGATGTGCGCGGTCGGTGAGCCGCGTCAGCAGCTGGTCATGTTTTGAAGCGGGAACAGCTCGCGGGCCAGCGAGGTGGTTCTTGGCGCCGAACAGCGAGGCCAAATCCAGCTCTAGTGGAGGAACGGACGGCCAGCCTTGGTCGGACAACTCCTCGACCTTGGTGATGGGCGCATACGTGGAGACTGGCGCCTTGAGCTTGGCAGGCTCGGAGAAGGCGGCAGACCAGCAGCTCATAGCAGCGGGGAAGCGCGGCCAGACAGGGTCTGGACAGCGTGTCTGAGTTGCCCCGAAAATTCCCGCCAAATCATCCGCTTCAGGCAGGGCCGGTTCTGGCACAGCCAGCCCCTTGCGGGCTGCTGCCGCAGAAATGATGGCGGGCAGCTCCTGGAGTAGTGCTCTTACTGCTGGCAGGGAGGAGCGAGAAGCCACTGGGGCAGAAGGACCCGCTGAGCGAAGCTCGTCGACCTCCGTTATGTCTAGGAGGGATGCCGCCTCATCGTAGTTTTCGCTGTCGGTGACGTCATCCAGCCGGTTGAAGCCAGCCGGCTCCTGACCGGCGTCGAAGAAAACCAAAGCCTTGTCCAGCGGGTAGGAGTCAGCCACCGGAAATTCTTTGTCGGCGGCGGGAGTGAAGTACTCGACCGGGCGAATCTTCTCTGCCACGGGCAGAGCGGCACAGAACGGGCACGAGGCCTGCGGGGTCAAGGCCAGGCCAGCATGGTGAGCCCCGAGACAGACCTCACACTTAGCGTGCAGGTCGCCGCTGGAAATGGAGCCCGTCTGGCAGGTCGGGCAGGGTCTGGCGTCACTGGACATGGCTGGTAAGTCGTCTTCGGATAATTTCGCTCTTTTGAGATAATATTTGCTCTTTAATAAAGCTCTCAAGCTTGGCATGAAGAGAAAAAGGGAGGTGAGCAGTGGGGTCACTGCGGTTATATACCACGAGGGGGCCCACTATTGGTGGGCGTACATTTAAGCTCTTCATGATTGGCTGATGCGGAGATCATCCTTCCAATAGCAGCTAGCTTAAGGGCTAAGACTAGATGAAATAGAACTAAAGTTCAGAGTGAAAATGGCCATACCGTGAGGCCAAGGCTGAGACCTTTCCCTGGAGCTAGCTCCTAGCGCTAGCTCTGATGTAGCTCTGATGCTCATGTTACCTGTCAATCAAATCTAATTATTCATAATTTCAAGCATTTAATTACACTTAAACGGAAGAGTTATAAAAAAACATCACCCCCTCAGAGTTGTCGTGAATGTAAACTAGATATATTAAACCTATAATGTTTTTTGAACCAGGCTGTAAACATGTTTATTTCTGCTGAGAAATTGGCATTTTAAACATGGGAGTCGGTATTGCTCACTTCTGGTGCCAGCCCCTAGTGGATGAGGGTGGAACTGCAAATTTGTGCACTTCCGCGTTGGTCTCATGAATTTCACAGGATTGTGGGCTTGGTTATAGCCAGCCCAGGAGTTGATAATGTTGGATAACCCGCATGTTCTGGCAATAATCCAGCAAAGTTCCACAACCTGCTGAGTGGTTTCTTTTGTTATAGTGAAGATATCACTGTGATATTGTTGCATGATGGGAACAAACGAAACATAGAATATGTATTACAATCTAAATGATTGATTTAGCCTTTTTAAACTAAATTTCAGTCAACTCTCTGTGGTGGAGGGAGGGAGAAACCAGTGCACCAAGTTCTGCACTACTGGTATGGATGGAGGAATGGCCATCTGGGATGTCAAGGTACCACACACACACACACACACACACACACACACACACACACACACACACACACACACACACACACACACACACACACACACACACACACACACACACACACACACACACACACACACACACACACACACACACACATACAGTGCCTAATTTGCATCCTAATGAAATTATTCTACTTTCTTAATACCTTCTCAGACTCTGGAGTCTGCTATGCAGGACTTGAAGATAGCATGAGCTGAATGTCCCGTTTGTCTGATAGAGGTCTGCTCGTTTCTGGACAGAAGAAGACGACTGCTGCCATAATAAACAACCTTTCTCTGCTGTTTTGAGTTTTTATACCAGTTAAGCAAAAACAAAGCTTTTTACTAGCTCATTTATTTCATTGTTATACAAAGGGGCTGAACCCAGATCTGCAAATGGTACTCTGTGAGTTCAGTTCTATCTAAACAAGTTCAGACTGAGCAGAATGTTTAAAGCAACTTTTCTTATAGTAACAATACAAAACTGCAACAGATATATTAAAGGCTTATGCTGGTCATAAAATGCATTCAATAAATCATTTTTGTCACAGTACTCAACAGAGCAGCCATTGTAACTGTGTGATTTATTTATTTATATCCACAACTTTGCCTTTTATACATTAGAACCACAAATTGAATAAGTCTTTTAAGATATAGAGCACTGAAAAACATTTTTCATTATTTTTGAGTTTCATGGCGAAAGTATTCTCCTACACCTATCTCCTGCATTAGCTTCTGATAGAAAAAAAGACAGTGAAACTCTAGGATTTGAAAATCCTGAAGATCTACGTGTAGGAGGGTAAATGTGGTGCTTTTAAGCTTAATATATTACCTTTACGTATGACCAATAAGTTGTGATACTCTATATAAATATAGAATATCAACCTGCTTGGTCTTTACTGTGTTTAATCAGAAGATTCTAGGATTCTTTTTCTTTTTCAGTGATCAAACACACACTTCGTCTCAATTCAGACAGAGTCAGGTTTATAAAAGATAAGAAATTTATTTTCTAAACAAATAAAACATGACAAGTTAACCAAGGCGTGATGGATGAAACTAAGAGGATGGGATGTGATGTATGGTGACCATGTGTGAATGTTTATCAGAACCTTCGTATCTAGAAGAACTGAGTTCTGGGTGTAAAAAGGAGAATTTGGTTTGCATTAAGCTATGAAGCTATATCAAAAAGGCATCAGACGCAATCTGTGTGTCTACCTCACTTTTTCTTCGGAGACCCTCTTCGTGGATCCGAAGGTCAGGGAGGTCGGATGACCACCACTGGGCACCGAGATTAGGTAGATTAACTGCAGCACTGACTCTCCAGTCCAGAGATGTTTCCGAGTCACAACAGATGGATGGAATCGTTTGCGTCTAGAAGGACTCTTAGGGAGTCGGAACGGTAACAGCTTGTTCTGCAGGAACCGTTTGCTGAGTCAGCAGTAGGCAGCTTTTAGCAGGGTTTTTGACAGCTTGTCAAAAATGCTCTGGGTTAAAGAGGTTTCACTCCAGACGGCGTTTCCGTAGCTTTCTCTAGAACTGAATGCTGAATCTCACAGGATGCTGGAAGCTGGAAGATGAAGTGCTGAATCACTGTAAGTGATTCTGTTTTAATATTCTCAAATTATGATTTACTTGGCCCACCGGTGCGTGCCATGTTAAGGGGTGTTCACAAGCAAACCTCAGAACGTCACGCCTCTTTCAGCTACAGGATGTTCTGATTTGTGGAACAGAAAGCAATGTGTCAGGATATAAGCTTAACCTTGTCATCGTCACGTGTCTGAGTGTGTGAGCTGTCAGAAAATAGTGATTCACTTGTTAAACCAACATTACTGATCATTATATCAAAATGTTTCATTTAACCACAGTGATTTAAGCACAGATTAATCAACCCTATTAATTTACGCACAGATTAATCAAAACATTATTGATCATTTCGTATAACATTTGTTTATTCCATTTCACGATTGATTAACACATTGGAGCTGAAAATAGTAACTTTATTCAGAGGCATGAGGAATCCTGCAGTGTTATCAGAAGAAGGCCTTGTTTGGGAACACAGGCTGACATTGTGTTCCTCCTGAAATGTCAACAAGGTTTGCAGAACCTTTTTGCTTGTTGGAAGGTAGAATGTGAAATCCACCATAGAGCTGGAATTTATGTCT